ATTATATTATACACATATAAGAAATTAGAATATTAGCTACTAAAATCTATGTCTCTTTAAATTTTTTCTTCAATATATTAAATATATTAAAATTAAAAAAAAAAAAAAAAATTACAAATTTTGTACGTACAATTCACCTCGGAACATTATCTACAGTTTTTATTTTAATAATGTATTATATACACACATGGTTTAGAATAAAATATTAAACAAATAGGTGTTTATGGTATAAAATATATTTAATAACGATACCAAATTAGTAGGTAGTTATTAATTCGTTATTAATTGTTAAAACAAACGGTAGGCATATAAAAATTAGATATTTATTCGTTTTTATTATAATCCATAGATATTTACAAATTTTAAACAATATATTCAGGGCGAGAAAAATGTATGTATTATTATTTTTATTATTATATTATTTTTTGTTTTACATGTGTAAATTATTTTTATATTCATTTCAATTTAAAAAAAAAACTTTTGACTTTTACATCAACCTTATTTTTACAAGTTATCCTAACTTATGGATTTATTGAAATTTCCAATATAATATTAAATAAATAATGATTTAAATAAATCTCTATTATTAACAATAATAATTATAATCTCCTTTAGACTTGGTCTTAGATACATTTACAAAGACGTTTATCCTTTAAACTGCTATGCGCTGAAATTATTGGTTTTTTTTTTTTTTTAATTAGACTAGGAACACACGGATGTTATTTTACTGCGTCGTAATTTTACGGCACATTTTGTTAAAGTACATAAAAATGAATAAAGTTTTGCACCGTAAAATTAACGTGTGACATTTCGAAAACTGTCATATGCACCTTGACTTTATCCTTGTCGAAATGCATTAAAATGATACGTAGGGAGCATATTAGTGGTAATAAAACGCACTACCGATTATTATTTTATTTTTAATTGATTGACTATCGAACGATTGAGAACGTTGTACTTTTTGGCCGAACGATTGAGAACACTTAAAATTAACAAAGAACTTACCACTGACCCAAAAAAAACCCTGAAAAACGATACGAATGAGAACCAATTTATGTGCAACGTTGCTATAGTTTACCATATCATTTATTTGGCTTTTGAAAAATTCAGTATACATACAATAAATATTCTTAATAAAAGTTATAAATTAATAATTACAATCGTATACAAATAAGTGCCTAATAATATGTAATATATAATATGAATAAAAATCAAAAATATGTAGGACTTATAAAAATATCTAATAAATATATGTAGTGAATATATATGTATAAATAATTGTAAAATATGTAGAATTTATAAAATTTATTACTTTCTAATAATATTAGGTCTTCACCTTGTTCGCTTCTTATAATTTTAATTTCGTTTTTTTCCATTTTAATAAATATACTATGTAGTATATTAAATTGACGAACAGTTTGTGCAACGACTGTAAAGCTTAACCGTCATTCTCTCGTATCTAGTATCTAAGTTACTATTAACATCCAGCAAATCCGATATAGAAATCCGATAAATATCAACAAATTATTATGCTCATATTATCGATTGATTACATTTGGCAACGTTAGAAAAAAAAACTCGAGCGTTCTCAATTGTGTTACCAAAAATTACATTCTCAATCGTATTTTACCGAATCGATTGATTCATTTCACATTTGTATAACAAGTATCAACAGTCAACATGTCGTAGAGAAAGATTTAGCTCAATCTGAAATCACGTATTTACATAATTTAGAATAATAAAGAAAATAAACCAGTCGGGTGATATAATGACAAGAAAAGAGGAAACAAATTATAATTATCATTGAATCTTTTCTGATATTTTAAAAAATTGAATTAAATGTACTTTCTAGAGGACGTGTCTTATTTAAAGATTAAATGTACATATTTTTACTTTTTTTTTTAATAAAAATTTGATAACTAAAGATAAAATATTTTTATCTGACATGATGTTGTTGTCTATTTTAGTGATTCTAAACCACCGGTCGGCGATTGAAAGGGTAGACCGATCCCCAAGGGCGTAGGTAGAAATTATGTTCATCGTTCATAACCGCACACTTTTATATCTAAATTCCACATATTTTCGCCAAATTAAACCGTTCAATATTGCACAAATTTATATATAAGTATATATATATCAATTACCTATACATTTATCTAAAATAACATGAGTGCACCTCGAGACTGAGCGGAGTCACTCACTCAATGTGCTTGCTAGGACAGTTAAAAACGAAAATATCCCCCGATTTGCTATGTAACATCACATGCAAAGTATACAAAAAGAAAGGAACTGTTAACCAAATGTGTGCGGTTTTGAACTATCGACCTTTCAAATTTTTTAACAATAGAATAAATAAATAAATATGTGCGGTATTGAACGATGTAAAATATGCGGTTATAAACGGTAAGTGTGCGGTTTTGATGACCGCCGGAAATTATATTATTTATGGGAAGGTTTGATATATTTAGATAATAAATACTTTAATTGTTACCTATTTATTTACTAGCTGGAATTTTGGCAATGATAGAGAGTTGAACCTCAAAAACGCCCCTTACCTATACCACTGCCGATCTATATTGTATTGGACAAATTTATATTTTTAATTTATTATTTAAACACTTTAAACCGTATATGGATACAAGTAAAATATATTTATCAGCACCTAAAATTAATCCTACTATCACAACAATTCGTTTAGGGCATTATGATGAGTATTTCATTGTTTGTCAATGCAGCGTTACATGCGGTTTTTGTTGCGTGTTTTGTTGTTTTTTAAATAATTGTATGTTCGGTAGTTGTTCCGTAGTAGAGTCTAAGCTAGATTTGTTGAGTTAAGAGAATAAATAGAATTATTTTTAATTTAAAAGAAAAGCAATTACATATTAATTACGCAAAATAATTAATGGATTGCAAAAGTTAAGTTAAAAATTTGGTATTTTTAACATTATAAATTCTTACAAAGTTTACTTACAACAATTTTTAGCATGGATAATATATTTTATGCATTAAAAAAAAAAAATCTGATTATGAATAAAGAAAATTTAGAAGGGAACTGCTAAATGTTTGAATCTTTTCATAAATTTTAGAAACTAACGGGATAGACATCAATATAAATACTTTTAAAATTACTATCCAAAATTATTTACAGCCATTGCATGATAATTTTGAAAGTTTTTATTAATTTAACCCAAATCTACGAGACTGAAATTTGTTTGTACAAAATCCGTATAAAACGAACTTATAACATACATTGGGCTTAAAAGAAGAAGAACTTTTGTTAAAGTTAGAGTTATACTGGTTTACAATCTAAATTTAAATAAATGTCTCTGAACAAATTTTGAATTGAAATTAAGGACAAGTATTTCGTGCTGTTCAAAATAGCGATGACAATTTCACTTCCATTTTCTTCTATGTATTTTTTTGAAGCAGGAATTTTCGGAATAACGCTCATAAAAAACTAAAACTAGGAATAAGCTTGATATCATAAATAGTCTACGCTCGGCTTAGACTACTTGAGTGGAACAAAGAGTTACAATTTTCATAACAAAACATGAACATCGTACTAATTCATTTTTATTTAAATAATTATAGATATTTTATATTTATTTTGTATGGTAATATTGTTATATACACCGGTAATATAATATTTTATTAATATATATAATTTATTAATTTAATATATAAAAATGCAATCAAAACTAAGAAAAAAGGAAATGTTTTTGATTTTTTTAGCTAAAATCCTAAAAGAGTCGTAATCCTACTTAATAAGTCATCTGCTAGTCTACAACCTCAAAAAGATTGAGAACCACTGATAGATTATGTATATTTTATTTTATATTAATCTATTTATACTATAGATTTTATAGTTTACACTCTATAATTTAGGTTCACTTGCAAAATAAAAATAAAAGAATATGTGTATGGTATTTTGCATGTGTTACTCTTTTTTGTATACTTAATTTTCTTAATAATTTTTCCATTATAATTGGTGTATAGAAGTTAATTAATAAGTAAAACTAAAATATATAATATCGTTTCTTCATATAATGGAGTGTATTTACATTTTCTTATTGATGTACCTATATAATTTTATTTGTTTTGGAAAGTCGACACACATCCTTAAATTCGTTATATTTAACCATTACAACGCATTGTCTTCCAACCAAAAGCAGAAATGCCCACTGAATTGTTTATAAATTAATGTGAAGCGACGGCTCTCCATGTCTCCTGCAGGGGTAAAATTGTAATAATATGACACTGAAACATAATAAACATCACCGCTCATACATTCTCAGTGATTTTACAGTATGTATCACATGTTCACATCGTGAGTGCCATATGTTGTATATAATGTACAATTATGACAAAAAAAGAAAATGGAGAAGTAAAGAAAAAAATAATACCATGTTATATCGACCTAATGTATTGTATATTTGTATCAATATAATACATACTATGTGTGTATAACAAACATACATAAGCGTGTGTATATTATACATAGTGACGCCGAAACCAAACATTTCAGTTAACGCATATACTCATAACATGAGATGAGACCTGACCACCGATATACCATTGGATTTAGAACCTATTAATATTTTCATTGCATGTACTATATTATGTGATAAATAAGACACGCAGATTAATTTACCAGGCAGTGTGTAGCAACGTGTTGATTACCAACCGAGTTTGTTTATAGTTTACAATAATTGTAATGACCTAACTACTGGAAACTGGACCAACTCGTCCACCACTGAAATATTATTAAAATATAGGGCAACTGCCCTGTCTGAATATAGGGTTCGGCGTCACTGATTTTATATTCATAAAATATAACTAATAATATATAATATATGCATATATCCAAACTGTATAGACTGAACCGATCATGAATATATATAAATCATCATAAATACATACGAGTATATACAGTTCGATATTTTTTTATACTTATTTTTAATAACCGATGAACATATAATAAGAATTGCTATCTGTTTCAGTTTGCGAACGAGGCACCTAGAGCGAATGGATCACGGATGGGTAAGGTCAGATTTACACAAGGCGTTGGAAATTTGGTCCAAACATTCCAAACTCACATTCCGGGAAATAAACAGTGAAACAGCGGATATACTGGTATACTTTGAAAAGTAAGTTTTTTGGTTTCGCGAGAATTGTCAATCGTTATAACTTATAAGTGATTCAAACAAATATATACCACTCGTTAATGTCCTATACGCACAAAGTATAATAAACGCCTGTTTAATGCACAGAGGCTACCACGGCGATGGATATCCTTTCGACGGGCGGGGTCAAGTGTTGGCTCATGCATTTTTCCCGGGCACGGGTCACGGAGGAGACGCGCATTTCGACGTAGAAGAAGATTGGCTGCTGAATGGTGAACAAAACAATGAAGGTACATAATATTATTAGTAATACTTTTGTGGTGTGCCGTAGCGAGAGTAGAGTTATTGTGTGCATTTTGTTAACTTATTTCATTCTATTTTTACGCAATCATAGGGACCAGTTTGTATACAGTGGCTGCGCATGAATTCGGACACTCACTCGGTCTGGCCCACTCGTCGGTTGGAGGTGCGCTGATGTCTCCATGGTACCAAGGCTTACAGTCAGACTTTGAACTGCCCGACGACGATCGGCTGGGTATACAAGTCTTATACGGTAAATACACTACAATAGTCAAGAATATTGCAATGTTGTATTTTACTTTTAATACATCAAATATGTTAGGATGTCTCATGTGATGAATTCCACTCACTCTAAAATTTACTTATGTCCAATACTATCTCCACTTTAACAAGAAGTCGATACCTGATTTTTCCGATTATATATCTAATATAATATAATAATAGTTTTAGGAATAATAAATGAGCCCATATGAGCGGATGAACGCTATGAATCGTTTCAAAAAATAAAGATATGAAATATATAAAAGAAATAAATTATAATTTCAGTAGACTTAATAGAAATTAATATTACAAACACATCATTTTTTTCACTAAGAATTAGATCTATGTGTAAGAAAATTATTGTTTCAGCTATTTTTCGATCTTCATTATATTTTACCGAATACCATATTTTAAACTAAAAAGTTACTTGCATATCAAATACCATTACATTGTATTAAATTAGTGATGTTTGTTTTTTTATCAAACATATCATATAGATTCCAAAAACGACAAGAAATGGGGAAATATACCCGTATATAGACCGGCTGCTCCAAGACCCAACTATCCAAATACCATTCCCCCGAGGACTACGGTCAGGACCACTACTTCCTCTACTTCCACTACTACTCCGAGGACTACTACAACATACACGAATATTAGAACAAGGCAACCAGATATACCTCCAGCTAACGATAAACCGGACTTTTGCAATACAACCTTTGACGCAGTATCGATTATAAGGAAGGACCTATTCTTCTTTAAGGGTAAATACTCGTGGAGATTAGGCGACAAGGGACTGTACTCTGGATATCCAGCACTCATTAGCCGGCTGTGGTATAACCTGCCCGAAGATATGAACCAAGTGGATGCTGTGTATGAAAGACAAGATCACAAAATTGTATTCTTCATCGGTTAGCAAAATTATTTTTAACTTTTTATCTACGCATATTTTATGTGCATGTTTATGTAATGCTCTGAGATTGTTACGTATCTGAATTACTTCATATTTTAATTAATTTAGATAAAAATGTTTATTTAAAAGGTTTTTTTTTCATTAAATTTTCTTATAAAATTTTATTTACAGCCAAATATTTGTATAATATTTATGATCGTTTAAGGAACCTATATCAATAAATAGGGCATTTCATTTTCGGATGTTTAATTAATTTATGTATTGAAAATCAATAATGACCCGTATTAAATTTATCTATAATTACATAGGTCGCAGTTTTTACGTGTTCAATGGAAACATCCTAGTACCAGGATATCCGAAACCGTTAACAGCACTAGGGCTACCAGAAAGACTCGACCACGTAGACGCGGTAACTGTATGGGGCCATAACAGCAAGACGTACATATTCAGTGGAACGGAGTATTGGAGGTATGATGACGAAACTGATCGGATGGAACTGGGCTATCCTCGTGACATAATGACCATATGGAAAGGGGTGGGATACAACCTTAATGCCGCCTTTCAGTGGCATGACGGTAAGTTCTTCTAGAGTTATAAGTTCAATACAGTAAAAATATTTATAACAAATAATAATTATTACGATATAATTATATTTATTAAAAAAAACAGTATAACGTTGTGAGAAAACAACTTAAAAATTTTATTAACCGTAAAGAGCATAAAATACGAAACACTCACAAAAGACTTAACACTGATCGGTGGTTAGGTATAAATAAAAAACACATCCGTGGTATGTATTGGAAAATCAAATCAATTTAAAATTAACATACATAAATTGTACGACACGTTGTAAAGAGAACGCGGTTTTAAATACGAAAACACCTTGCATGCTATTCCCGACGATGTTCGTTATTAATTGCCTACGTATTGTTGTTGTGCACAGGTGCCACTTACTTTTTAAAGAACCGAGGCTTCTGGAAGTTCAACGATCTACGGATGCGCGTTGAACAGGAAGAGCCCAGGTCAATCGGCGAGTTCTGGTTCAATTGTACGACGACCACGGATGGTGGCAAACAACGGCCACCAGTGAGAAGCAAGGGTCGGGTGACCGTGGTTACAGATCGTTCCGCGGGCCGAGGCGGACGATTGCTATCCGAGGCCGAATTTCCCGGCGAAAAGCCTTCCTCGGCCGCCATTGCCAACGGTCTGCTGCAGCCGACGTTTCTATCATTACTTGTGTGGCCGGCAGCAATGTTTTGGAGCTCTACGTGGCGGCTCTTGTGAGCACGTCAGACTACGTCAAGCTTCGGTCGTCGCCTACCCGGCCGGGGAACGTAGTACGGTACATGTGGTTTCAATGCGACGCATACCACGACCCTCCCCCCCTCCTCGTACCCACGGTGTAAACCGTACGGGGCATTGTGGTTGTACATACCTTGACGACTATGCCGAATGCCGTCGCAGCGATTTATTATCGTGTAATATAATTTATTTTGATGTTGAATAACAATCGCTCGAACTTTATTACAATCACGTCCAAGCATATTTAGAGTCGAAATTCAGGGACGTATTTAGACTTTTGCTGCTCCTAATCAACACTACGATTTAGTCTCGTCCCCTCATAAAAAAAAAAAAAATCAACTTTGACGCAATAATTTTTCTTGTTCTCAAATAAAGACTGATGAACAGAACGTCAGAAGCTACACGAGACCTTAAATTCAATCCTGTCATCAAGTCGAAAATAACAACTACTACAAGTGATACCTGTACCGCGAACGAGAACTATTGCGCCGGAAAGTATTATATTCACTATTACTATAATAAATTGGGATAATATCGTGCATTTATGAACGTTTTTAATATCACCTGAACGCGACTATAATTTTAGGCTGCCATTGGTGGGCGTGACTTGAACAGGAGATATTTTCTCGCCAATACAACTCATCTATTACGTTTTGAGTGCCTGAACAAATTTGTGATATTTTTATTTATTTTTTTTTATCAATACTTAATCTATATATTATTTACGTTAAGCGTTTTATTTTATGATATAAAATATATACATATAAATATTTATATAATATATATTATTCGTACAACCTGTAGATACAATTTATTCTGTAGGTACTTATATTTTTTTAAGCAAGTATCAAAATCGTTGAGATTTTTTTTTTACGATTGTGTAATTTTTTTAATAAAAGACGTGATATTGTACTTAAAATTTAAAATGTTGCTATATTATTCTAATACCTAAACCTTATCATATGTAATGTTACAATAAAACACACAACGCATTGATTATTTTTGTGATTAAACACAGTCCAACGTTGTTAGAAACCGGATGGGTTACCAGGGTTAGGTTAGACTATGCCACAAGCTCAAACTCTTATAAAATAAATACATGTTAATCTACCGACCAACTGATATGACCAATCAAATAGCCACAATCATAACAGATTGAAAAATAAATTATTTTATAAAAATTGAAAGACCTGTATTGAACATAATCCATAGGGATTTGTGATACTCTAATAAATCAACAATACATTTTCAGTTTGTGTCTTTTAATGGAAACAAGGGAATCGATAATCGGTTAATAACATTGAGATCGTATAATCGATTTAACGTATCCTCATTGAAATTGTATGTTAACAGATATAAGGTATCTAATTAAAATGTTGATTTTATCATAAAAAAAATAATGTATGTTAGTGGAAAATATTTTAAAATATAATATTGTCAAATAAAGTTAATAGAAAAAATAACTTTAGTTTTGTAATTTGTTTCTTTTTAGTTAATATAATACATTTGGTTTTTTCTGGTGAAAAAATAAAACCCGAGTGGAAGCACCAATTAGATACTCGTAGGTCGTTTAGGCAATCTTGAAGGCGACGTGTCATTGATTTAATGTTTTTCCCTTTGAAATAAATATGGGTGTCGTCACATGATTGATTTAATGGGATGCAAAATTTCGTCAAGTAGGTTTTTGATTGCAGCTTGAAAAAGCAGAATACTCAGGGGGGATCCTTGTGGGATTCCGTTCTCGAGTACAAATTTTTCTGAAATTTGATCATTTATTTCAACTTGGAAAAAACGTTCATTCAGAAAACTTGATATAAATTGTAACATTTGCCCAATAATATGCCATTTGCTGAGTATATTCAAAACTCTATGTCGCCAAACTGTGTCGTATGCTTTTAGAAGGTCTAGACCAGCGTTTCTTAAACTGTGTTCCGCGGAACCCTGGGGTTCCGCGATGATCACTTCAGGGTTCCGTGAAGCTTAAGTAATTTTTTAAAAAAATTTAAGAAAATTACTTTAAAATTTCCAACTTAAGATTAGCAATGTTGAAAAACTGTTTGCATTATAGAAAAAAAATCTTTGTATATTAAATAACATGTATAAGCGATATGGAATAGTCTACATTTATATTTCGGTGCACATCACTGCGCATGCATCGTTACCATTTTGTAATACATCACATAAACTCCGCCTACGAGGTTTTTTTTTACACCTAAATTCCGCACATAATTTTTGTATATATTTTTGTACATAATTTAAAAAAAAAAATCGGTATTCTATCAATTAGCCATCGTTATATAATTCTATGTTTTTATTTATAAATTCCATATTGGTTTTTTGTTTAGTTCTAACTATCCTACTTCATTATTATTAGCAGAATTCGTTCGTATGTAAGAATCCGTCTGCATAGCTAATAAGTTTTTAATGAAAACTGCAATATTTAGATGTAAGTACTGAAGTAAATAAATTACCAAATTTTGCATGAAAAGACTCATAGTTGTTTATTGTTCTCTCCAGTATTGCTTCTTTTTTGACCCAAATACTGGATGGAAATATTGCATCGTTTTTTTATGTATGTTTTGTTTTAGTGAGTGATCATTTTTTTAATTCGTGAATCTTGGGTTGGTCATTTATAAAGTAATTTTCAAAACATAGTTTTATGCTATGCGGACTTTCGGTGTTAAAAATATTTTTAGAATGCGGAGCTACAGTACTTTAATTTTTTTAACCGTGCCGAATTATGGTGCTGCGGAGTTGCGGATTTACAAAATAATTTTATTCGCGCGAAGCTACGGTGCGTCCTTATATTTAGTCTAATTAAAGTAATTATTATTAAAGTATTATTATTATATATATAGATATTTTTTAATTATTTTAATTTTAATTTTAAAACATTTTTTGAATTAAATACCTTTAACACAATATTATATGATTATAATTTATTTGCAAAAAATCCTAAAAAAAGCTAAAAAAAAAAGTAGGGGTTCCACGATAAATGTGGACATCAAAAAGGGTTCCACAGATAAAAAAGTTTAAGAAACTCTGGTCTAGACTAATGAGAATCATGATTTGTTTGTTGGCAAAAGATTTGAGTATTCCCGTTTCTATTTTAACATGGCAATCTATAGTGAAATGACATTTTCTAAATCCATGCTGGTTTGTTGATAACAGATTAAATTTTAGTACATATCAATTAAGTAAATTATAAATTATTTTTTTAAACGTTTTACTCAGGTTACATAGAACAGAAATAGGACGATATCCTAAAGGTTTATGTCTGTCTTATTCTTTTTTAGGAATAGGAGTAATGCTTTCCATAACGTTGGGATAATACCGAACAACCAAACATTATTATATAACTCGATGAGTAAATTTTTGCCTTTAATGGAGAGGTTCTGGAGAGATAAGAACGGTATTTTGTCTGGTCCACAACTCTTTTTTTTCCTTCTAGAGTTCAGTTTTGACATTGTGATAGGATCGTTGAGAATTGAACCTTGATTTGTTGTTGATGTGGGGATCAGTAAAGCATTCAATTCTTGAGTTTCTTTAAATTTCAAAAAGTTTGGATTCAAACTAGAGCTACTACTGTTGGAGTAAAAAAACTGTCCTATTTGGTTGGTAATCTCTTTAGTTTCTGTATAAACTATTTGTCCTACCATCAGTATTTTTATTTGTGTAAAGGGAATTCTTTTAATGTTTTAATTTCGTTCCACATTTTGGTTGGGGAAATATGACTGTTTAAACTAGATGTAAAATTTTACCATGACTTTTTTCACTTTTAAATAGGTAACGGACTAGCGCTTTGTTTTTTTTTTAATTGTATAAAATCGTAAAGGTCTAATGTTTGTTTGTATCAGTTAAAGGCAGTTTTTTTCCCCGTATAGCTTGTTTAATAGTTTTATTACACCAAGGGACTGGAGGTCTCTTGCCAGAGTAGCTAATTAACTAGAAAATGTTTAAAGCTGTATTTATAATGAGGTTGGTGAACAGTTTTATCTTTTCTTCTATATTATTAGTATTTGTCCAAGATGTTGATTCAATATTTTTTATCAATTTCCATTTGGTATGTATTCCAATCGACATTTTTTAATTTCCATTTTTTAATCCCAGTATAATAATTATGGGAATTGATGTAATTGAGCGTCATGATGATCATATGATTTTAATGTATAAAAAAGTGATAGCATTTTTAGAATATCTAAGATTTAATATAAATAACTAAGTAGGATTCAAAATTTAAACTTAAAAATTTTATTAAACTAAAAATGTCAAGTAAAATATTTAATTTATAGTTAGTTTTCACAAGCATAAACCAGTCAGTTTTTTTGTAATAAAATTAATAAAATTTTATTTTTAAATATTGTACAATAGAGTTAAAACTGTCAAATTAGTAACAAAAACATTGTATTTATACATTTTTAAATTTTTTTTTACAAATATCAGGAAAAATATTGCAGATATATAAATATAACATACCTAAATATATTTTTGAATAAGGTATTAACTTTTCCAAATCACATATTTTTCTATAAGTCTTTAAGTGAATAATTAATGGATTAATGAATTAGCACGCTTAAATCATTGATAAATAATGGAAAAAAACCAATAAGACTAACAGTTGTTCAACTGCAGTAATTTATTTTAAATAAATCATAATCTTAAAAATCTAAGTTATATCAAATTTTCATACATTACTTAGAGCTATAATGTAATATTATACAACTTACCAAAGTTAATTTTGTTAAAATTAAAATTTAATGGAATAAATTAGGAATTATCAATAACACAGTAAAAATATAAAATTATACAAATAATTGTGCTTTTATTTGTACAACAATAAAATAAAAAAATAAATGGTTGTAAAATTATGTAGAGTATAATGATTCATATAAATAATTGAATATAATTAAGATTTATAAAATCAAATGTTAAGTCAATTCAATTCAAAATTTAAAAATGAACTCACTTGTTAACGCCGATTTGTACGCTTATAATATTTATCATTATTAATTTGTATCTGAAGTGGAGATACAGAGCGAGCATTATAGCGATGGCCATGTTTTCTATGAGGTCCTAGTCTACTTTTTACATGCCTCTTTTCATACACATCTTCATCACTTGTATAATCACCATCATCTTCATGTAAATACTGGCGGCGTGGAATATCTCGACGTGTTGCACGACTGAATGGAATATCTGAATATTCTTCATCATTAACATCTTCAACATCTACTTCAAAGGACTCATCATCAATATAATGGTGAGCTTTTGCAGCTCGGATAGCTTTAGCAACTTTTGCAGACACTATACGTCCATTGAGACGTTCACGTAAGTCATTAGCTATATTTACTTGATGTCTAATTATAAAAAAAATACATAGAATAATTATTAAAACATTTTTGTTTAAAATATTGAATAACTAACACACTTAATTGAAGTAAATAATAAAGGAATAGTCACTTAAAGAAAAATAAATTGAAATGCATTATATGTAAAGTATGTAAAGTTAAGGAGGTTTAAAAATTAAAAACTACAGTTATTGGAGAATCAATATTTTCTTTAAACTTAAGTTTTTAAATTATAGTACAGTTTCCAGCAACCTTTTTAGACCTTTGGGTCATATTCACAATTTAAAAAGGGTTCACGGTCCAGACAAAACAAAAAAATTATATGATATTCAATGAAATTTCCTAGTATTGGAATTTAATGCAGATCATATAAAAAATGTAAGGGCCTGATATGGCCTGCGGGTCACTGGTTGCTGATTGTTGTTTATAATGGAATGATGATAATTATTCAATTATAAATAATCTAACCTTGAATTTGAACTAGAATTCACACGTTTTCTCATAGTATTCTGTGATTCATCATCTGCATACATACGCATTCTTGGAATTTTGCTTTCTCTATATCTGGCTTCATTGTAATCATCTTCATCATCATCTTCACTTGCAGCGCCTGAAGATGATGTAGGTGGTGGTGGAGAAGGAGTACGTACTTTGGATTTATCTAAAACGATTAAAAAAGTTAACAATTAACAAGCTTTATAAAAACTATACCCAGTATTCACTATATATATATTTAAATTTATCAAACATTACTTTAACATTTTATTATTTTTTAAAAAAAAACCACGAATTATAGTAAAAATTAAAAAATTATTAACACATACATACATATATACAAATTACATACATACATATTATAAATAAAATTACAATTCAAAAAATTTAAATATATGCGATTCCTTTCAATAAGAATTTTTCTTCTACCGTATTCAATCTAACGATTGATTTGCAGCAACTTTCTTATTTTAATAAGAATTCAATAATTATTATAGGTAAATTTAAAATTAACATTTACTATTTATCATGATAAATATTATTAAAAAAAATAAGATTGAAATGGTCAAATTATTATTGAGAATATAATGTACATTTTATTGCAAATAGCAGAAAAATTAGGTTTTTAACAACTACTAAAATTTTAAATTCATACAAAACAATTTTTGAATTTACACAATTTTTTTAAGAACTTTATCATATTAATATAATACATATTATGCATTAATTCAACCAGAAATGGGCAAAATAATTGAAAATAGGTATCTAGGTACTAGATATATAAATTTCTACCCAAAGATGCATTTTTTTCACAGTTTTAGAGTAAAAGGATTAAATTAAAAAAAAAAAAAAAATTAAAATATATAAAATATAAATAAAATAAATTATTAATGACTGATATAAAATAGATCAGTGATTAGGCTTTATGACTTATTTTTATAACTCTTAAATTATTGCTTTTAATGAACTTTCTTATGTTTTGAAATACTATAAAAATACCTTTAAAAATGTCTGAAAATTATAAATTATTTAAACTTTAAATTTCACTTAAACATATAGTTAAATACAATTATGGTTAAAATATACATTTTGATATACATGAATGTAATATTTCATATTAATATAATAGCAATATATAAATTTGAAATTCTGTATTTGTACATTCTGTGGTTTTGAAAACAATGGAGTTATACTCATATTTTCTCCATTGACCTTATGAATAAAAATGGCAGAATCCAGTATTGCAGAACTTTAACTATGATGTCTAAGTTAAAATTACATGTATAAATATCCACTACCAAATTTCATTAAGATGATTTTATTAAGTTATTTATTTATTGTATTAACACCAGTTAGCAATTGTATAGGTGAATACAAGTATAAGAATATATGTACAGCATAGAATAGAAATACAATTAAGTAAGTGCAACAATTAAGATAGGCATAAAAAAGTATAACAAACCGAAAAGTTATAATTAGTGTAAACAATGTGAGGGAGCGTTGTTAAGAAAGAGTAGCATTCAGTGCATCGGATGGTTGAAACCATAAAAAAAAGAATAAGGAGGGATAAAGAAATGATTATGGATTTTAGTGTTATGAGAGGGAACACGTAGTTTTATATCAAATAAAATTTTAGGAATTTCCAAAGTACCATTAAGAACAGACAAAATGAAATTGAAGTCAGCTTCAGAGCAACGAGTTAGAAGGTAAGAGTATATTTAATTTAGAGCAAATCTGTGAAAAGTCGTGTTGTGGGTGCTCTATTTTATATCCTTTTAAATTATAACTATACCCTTTTCTTTTTTTAATAACATAATTTATCAAAGAATTACCATTCTTAAAATAATAAAAATGATTTTATTTTTGTCATTAGACTATATTTAAAAGTAGATATTATTAATAATTTAATGAAACTATTAATTTTAAATACTCCTAGCAAAATTTTAAAGAATTCTTTGAAATTAAAATTGATTTATTTTCTTTAAATATAACATTTAATAATAAAGAAATTGACAAAATAGTTGTTTTTAATTAACATTTTATTCTTAATACTTCTACCATAAATATTTTGGAAAATATTTATATATTTAATTTAAATTAATTATAAACAGTTACTATCATTTTGTAATTATTTTAACAAAAATAATAGATAAAACAATGTATCACTCATAAATGATTAAAATAGGACAATTTAAATTTTAAAACAATATATTTTTTGTAATTTTTAAAATAAAATTAAAATTATTACATTATGTTAAATCACAAAAACTATAATGTTTTGGTTTTGTACTATCCACAGAAAATGTATTAACATGTTTAAAGTAATTACATATTTTAAGAAAGTTAGTAATATTGAAAGTATTGAGAATTAAAAATCCTAAATACACTATCACCAAAAAAAATTATCTTATAATTTTTTTTAAAGCTATTTATTTTAAAAATATATAAATCATTTGAATATTGAATATTGCGTAACATCAAATTGTTTTTCACATCCTACTTTAATGACAAAATTCTTACAGTATAGGACTTTACCGTAAGTTGAAGACACATTGACACCAAACTCTATTAAATAGCCCTTTAAATGACTGTTAATCTTTCAACATTTTAATGTTAAAACAGTATACAAAGATGAAAATTGACACAATTTAAGAATAAATACACATACACAGATTGCAGAACCAAGACCAAATAACTAAATTATTAACGATTGATTAAAGTCAGTGCAATGAAAATTGTTGGTATTATTTGTAGAATTATTAATGTCCTATTGGAAATGTTATGATGTAAACAACGTGTTTACTGTTTATAAATATAATCAATCTAATTAGAAACCATCAAGATATATTTATAGGAAAAACATTCATCTAAGAACAATCAACAACCATATTATATAATCAAAATTTAAAATTATATTTTTAAGATAGGCATCTAAAATAATAAACTGGAAGAAATATGATCTCAGAACAAAAAAAAACCTCAAAATATGCATTTAAACGCAAAATAAAATTTTAAGACTAGTTTTATGAAAGTATTAAACGTTATTTATTTAGTTCTCTGCTATTTTTATGATTAAACAACACAAATATGAAAATGCTACTAGTCATCTGCCCTAAACATTAGTTATATAATATAATATACTAAAATATCAAATAATATTAATTAATAAAAATACTTACATTTGGCATCCATAGCATTGTCATATTGGCTCCAAGTCTTTGCTATAGCAGTCCAAGTATTGATTCCAGGATTTTTGGCTAATTTCCACCGAACATCATCTTTCAATACTTCATCACCAATATCAGGATGATTAATAACTGGTATAAACTTACGTTTACGACTTTCAGGTGAAAACATTTCATACTCTATAAAACATTTATATTCACAAAAACTATAATATTATATTGGTGCATACTGCATAGTTAAAATTGTTCTTCTATTACCTCCATCTTCTGCATCAATATTTTTGTTCTTCACATCTTGTTTGTCATGTACTGTGCTATATCTCATCAGTATACACTTATTTTTAGTATGTGGTTTAATTGCTTTTCGCCACATCCCTGGTGGTAATTCATTACCAACACAACTAACATAATCTTCGGACACCAAAACCTATAACATTTTTTTTTTTTTTTTATAAATAAAATATTAAAAGTTTAAATATCAACTTACATCATCTTGATCCATGTGATCATCATTTGAATTATCATTTAATTCTCTAGCTTCATCATTTAAATTGTCTTCAACTACAGACGTAAGGTGTTTAAGTTCACGTATTGGACGGGTTAATTCCAATAATGCTTTTGTAGGCATTCGGTCATCTAGCCACACAACATTACCTAAAAATATTAAAATAAAAATCATGTGCATGCCCAATATTTTATTAACATTCAACAAATTATCAACTAACATTCAGAATTAGATATCCATTCTAAAAATTTTGGATCATACTGATCAAAATAACTTATTATATCTTTAGTAGTCATTCCATTGACTCCATGTAAATGTAAAGCATTTAGTTGAATATCTTTGTTATTTTTATTCATGCCCAAACTGTAACGTAAAAAAAATACAATTTAGACACTGTCTAGTTTAAATTTCTATAAAATGCACTTCCTCATCATACCTATTTAAAATATATTGAATTTGTTTATCTGTGATGTCACAAGAATTATGGGTAGACTGTTCATTTCTGTTTGACACTGTTGCGGTTTGGAAAGTATTCCTATTCAACTGATATCCAATACATTAAAAAATCTATGAAACAATGTAAACATTTAACGTACTTTGGTTCTGTTTACTAAAACTGACTGATTCGTTCTCGCTGATGTACTATTATTGTCCTGCTGTTCATCTTCGTCACTGTCTAACAGCTCACCAGGTTCTAGAAATTCGGCGGACAAAATATCGTCGCTGTCACTGTTGGCCATGATTAAATCGTATAATAACACTGCAATCCGATATAAATTCAACACATTTTCCCGATTGAATAGGAAAAATAAAGAAAAATAATAATAGTAATGATAAGCGACGGACAAAACGGTGTACTACCGAAAAGCGCACAAGGACAACAAGCACGGCACGGGGGTCGCGTTCCGTACTCAAGTTGATGCGTACGTAGTTACGCGCCGTTATCAATTAAAATACGAAGAGTGGAAAAGCGTTTAATTTTTAGAAAAATCGACCGAGATAGTGATTTGATAATTATGATTTTCGAACACGGCTGTAGATAATGATTTCAAAACACGATTAAAGAAATGTTTCAAAATAAAATGTGGTATCAAGAGCATCAAAATGATATCACGGTACAGGTTAACTCAGGATGGTCAACTTTGCTCAGTGCCACCATTAAGTAACGCGGAAAAAAATATTGTACACCATTATCAGTGTTGGCGGTTGATTTGAATTCTAAATGTATTATCTACAGAAGAACAAACTACAGTTATATTATTATTTATTTGTGTATGAATCGCTAAACACAAAAAGAACACATGTCTATGTAATAAAATTTTTCAGGAAACACATAATACTTAATATAAATGAAAAAATTGAATTATAAATTGTATGTGGAACATATAGGTAAGACATGGTATGCATGTTTCTACGATCATTTAAAGAAATATTATTTAAGTTTAGTTACCTGAAGTATTTTAATGTCTTGGACATATCTATACTGTTTATGTATCAATAACTATAAATTTTCAGAAAATAATATTTTCCTATAAATAGTTAGCTTTAATATCAATACAATTAAAACAACATTATTATATAATATACAGTAGATTATATACTAATAATGTGTCACAAATACTTGTTTTTGATATTAAATCAATTAAATTATAGAAAAATCTTATGTTTTATTTTGTCTTGCTTGAGATTTATTTGAGAAACTTCTCAATTAGTAGCAACAATATTTTTTTAAATAACGATTATTAAAAATGTACAATCTATACTATATATACAATGAGTAAATTAGATGGAGGAATGACAGCGATGAGGAGGTGAAACCTTTACATTTTGAATTGTTTTTTTCTCAATTAATGTGGCAAATTAAATTTTTATTTTAGGACAAAGGGTTGTAATTATATGCAAGTTCTATGAGTTTCTACAGATGATGGTGAAATCAGTTTACTGACACTATTGTTATTACCTCGGCAACAATAAAGTGTACTATTGAAACCGTTTAAAGTCTTATGAGTATTATTTGCTAGCTTTTTATTTTATAATTCCTATTTTATTTTAATACTACCAAAATAATTTAACCTTTACAAAGTGCCAAAGTGATATGACGTAAGTAATATCTTGAACAAAGGTAGTGTATGACCAGCTCATAACCTTGTAGTACATCCAGGGGTGGATCTAGGGGGGGTTCAGGGTGTCAGCTGATCCACAGTTAATATTTGTTGACAAAATTGGTTTTTTGGAAATTTTTTTCTCTTTTTATACCTTGATTTGGCCTCTTGGAAATTTTTTTCTCTTTTTAGACCTTTATTTGGACTCTTGGACAGTTGGCCCATCGGAGTTACTTGAAAAATGAATGCCATGTATATTCAAAATTTAAATTTTTTCTATTCATAATTTATATTTTAAATTATATCGTTTTAGTAGAATGTTAAGTAAATCATATTTTATTCCGTATGTTTGTTGCGCTGATAAAATTAGATTATATTTATTAATCGTAAATAAGTCATTATCGGTGGTATCATTAATTCTAAAATGTAATATAAATATACTAATACAAACTTTTATGAGCATATGTGTTTTTTTTTTTTTATAAGGTATTAATTTCTAATTTAGTTTCATCTCTGATAAATGGCCTCTTGAAATTGCTTGACCCACAGTTCCCAGACTCTGGATCCGCCCCTGAGTACATCTTCAAAATGGTTAACGTGTATATTTCACTGGGGGTAATGTTCTCCAAAGAGCATTTTTCTTATTGTGTTATTCCAGCAAGACTTGTCTTATTTTTTCTAATCATATAAACTATAAGAAAATAAAATAAATAATATAAATATTTCTGTTTAACAATGAAGGTGAAGGAGCGACATGTTGTGTTATGGAAAAATAATTATACTGATAGATGGCGTACGTTATTTGTAATATATTTCAATACACCTGTGGGTCGAAATGAAAACAGTTACAATATTAACAAGTCGCAATAAGGAATTCAAAGATCGCAGAGATCGTTTTTGACGAGTCGACTTTAGTAGGATAAAAAGGTATGTTCTAGCCCTCTCTCATTCTCAGACACCCGCACTTATCACCAATCTACAACTAGCCGTTTCCGTCGCCACCATGACCAACTCCTTCGTCAAAGTTCATCTTTATTTGTAGATAGGTACTCGTAGCTCGTGATCGACATAGCCAACCGCGTCCACTAACTCCCACCTCCCTTACCCTCAACTAAATTTTTTTATTTATTTTTTCACGCCTATTTCCATTATCAATTGTGCGACTGACCTGCGCTCTGATGGATAGTCCTAATACAATGATAAGAAAGCCACCGATATTTTTTTGATATAACTAGATGTGATCGACATGCTTTCTAATGGATTATATGAATAAATTGATATGATCGATTTATTATAAATGATTTATTTATTGGTTGTACAAAAATAAAAAAAATACAATATCGGTTGAGAGTGAGGGAGATGGTGGGTAATGGACGCAGCAGGCTACGGAGGTGATGAATAATAGGTGTCTGCGGGTTCGGGTGTCTGCAGGTAAATGTGGGTCTGCGACGGAGGTAGTGGTCTTGGGGCGACAGCAGCGATGGATGGACGGTGAGTGGGAGTGGGCTGAAACATACCCTTTCATCCTACTGATATTGTAATAAGAAAATAAATGCATTTCTTCTTAAGTTGAAAATCAGTAGGAAACATCACGATAACTGCGACTTTCGAGCCACAGGAGCGGCGGAACACGTGTGTAAACACAAAAACGGAAGTACGCGACAGGTAAAATGTAACTATATAGAAGTACGACTGTGCGCGAACGCGTTGTACATACAAACACCACGACGGCTGTCGAGGAAAACCGAATAAATGCGTTGCTGAGCGGCCGCGGCGCGTCAGTACATTCCGTTCGCTCCAACAGGGGTTAAGAACGAGTAACACTGTTTACGAATCCTACGACAAGGGGGAGAAAAGGAGGAACGCGTACACGGACGGAAAATCAATATGCTGGCGCTGAACGTGTGGCTGGCGGCAAGCGTCACGCTGTGGGCCGGAGCAATCCGAGTGAAGAACATGGACGACGAGTTGACGTTCCTGTACAACGTGGTCAAATATGACGAGTACTGGATGCGGTACCTGGACGTAGAGGTGAAGATTGACCCGTCCATGGTGTCGTTTGCCGCCGGGAACGTGTTGCAGGACTTGAACCTCGTTCAGCCCGTGCACGTTACGCACCGTCCCGTGCCCATGACACCGAATACTGAACGGGTGGACACGTCTAGTCTGCCCACGTCGTCGGACGAGGGACCGAAGAACGACGGCGGCAGCGGGGTGGTATCCGCAAAGGCGTTGCGGTTGATCGTTGACGTGGTGACCAAGCACAACAAGGAAAGCGATGCGATCAATTTCGGCATGGCCGTGATGACGTCCGGAATCAAGTGCAAGGTTCTACCGTACATACTGATCCAGTTGAAGGTGATCGAGCATACGGCGGGCCAAGAGGACGCAGAAAGCGTCTTGCGGCCCAAGATCATCTGGAAGAACCTGGTGCAGTACATTGACAAGATGGCTAAGCTCAAGGACTCGTTGCACACCGCTGCAGAATTGTACCACAAGTGGAGCATCATGACCGGCCAGACGTTCCTAGCTACGCCCGAGCCCATCACCGGCACCACTGGTGATGTTAAGCCGTTCAAGGAGCTCCTGCAAAGCACTCTGGACGAATCGTGCTTAGTGAACACCGTCGACGAAATCGAGGCTACCTTTAATTTCGATCCGGAAATTGAAAACTGGACATCACCAGACGGCCCGAAAGCCATATTCAATAAGTGCCAGAAGCAGCTGCAAGAGTTGTTCTACGGCTTGCCGTTTACTACCATGGATCTGACATTATGGTCCGACTATCTCAACAATCCGGAAATACTTGAAGTACACGAAGAACACGAAGTTCACGAAGTACTCGAATCAGATAATGCTTTCTACCTACAATAAATCAGTGCGCACTATACAACATAATGTTATTATTAACCATCATTACAATTAGCTTATTTATTATCTAATGTACGTCCAGATTATAGAATAGTAAAAATAAATAAAAATAAATAATTCCTCCCATATTGTTATTTTATTATATGTTTGCTGTTATATGCTATTGTATTATTATAAGTTTAGGGTATACCATTAATTATAATAAATCAAATAATATCAATATATCAAATAAATCGTTATTTATATCTCAATCAGGTATAATTTATGTTTTTACGTGTTATTATTACCAACCATCCGTAAAGTTTATAAACATTATTTTAACGTTATTAAATAAGAAACCATTACGAAGAGGGATTTTATATTAAAAGTATTTAATAATTCAAATATTAAACTTATATAAAAAGGAGGATTTATTATATAATATATAACACGTGTTACACAACACGAACAATACTAACGAATTACAATTAATTTGTCAAGTAATTTATTATTCATAAAATTATAGACAAATGTAATTATTAAATATTTATATGTTGGATACACTAAATAAATATAAACTTTAACCATATAATAAATGATGTAACTATTGTGCTGAGATATGTCTGAAAAAGTGTAATTGATTAATTACTTAACGGATATGTTTTTGATTCACAAGTATACGCCAATTAAAGTTTATTTTAGGATATAGACTTGAAACCAAAACACTGCTGCAAAAAAATGGGTTTAACCCAGTAATATTGTAAATGTTATAATATCAATTCATAAGTAAAAAAGTTTTTTCATTTTATTTTAAAAGCATATTCCAATAAAAATCAGGTTTCTACAGTATTTAATACTTATTCAGTTTATTTTGTTATTATTTATTACTGATTATATTACTGATTTATATAAGAACAAAGTTAAATATTATGATGGTACCTAAATTGTTATTATAATACAAATATAATTTTTCATTTTAAAAAACTACGTCTATATTTTATATTATAATTTACTTAAATCCAAATTGGAACCGGTTATAATTTTTTCTTCCGGTATACGTTTAAAATGCCTAATTTCACTTGGTGTATTCTAGAAATGTAGACTTTAATAAGCATAACTCATCATAACTATTTTAATAAAATTATTGGATAAATGATAGTTATTGATATTTAAACATTACAGTACGATTTAAGTATACTAAATTTTTTTATCTATATCAATATGTTGTATTGGAAAGAATATTAGGAAACTAAAGATTATTAATCTGAACATATTAAGTGACAAATTTAGGAATCGTTTATATCGTTTTTATTTTATTTTTTCGTTATTCATAACATCCATCCATTATAACTATAATACACGAATTATTATAACTATAATACTAAAATATAACATATTATAAGTACTAATTTTTGGATTTTTCTTCCTTAAGAGAGGATATTATACTATAATCAACACTTAGTGTAAAATATAAATTATGCTGTTCAAATAATAATCAATATATTGTATTATTCTACTTTTCGTAAAGTAAAATCGCAACAGTATGTTAGGCGCGAATGTGTTTGTCTTATTAAATGTATAGATACATGTTTTTAATTTTGTTTCGAGTCGAGTTTGTGTACACAGATTTTTATTGAAAACAGTTACCAAACGAAGCACGCGCAAAATAAGACACGTCGTTGGTGGAAAGTCGAGTGGTAATCAGTTGTTCGCCTTTTGGTGTTTAACCGTAGCGCAGTAATTCTGTACGCATATCCGTTTAAATCTTGATTCCAATGTACTTATCACCGCACTTTTGGTTGACCGTGGTCGTGATCGCACCATGCGGTTTAGGCTTACCGATTAAGACGCAGATTCATGACATAGTGAAAGAAATACTTTTCGAGGACTTACTGTTCCAGGACATATTGTCGGAAAGGATTAAACTGAACGCCAGTAACTTGGCACCATGGATCAAGGAATCGCTGGAGAACATCGACGATCTGGACCCGCTAGTCGCTCTGCACAAGCTGTCAAAACCCACGAAATACTATTCGGGCCAAGCGCTGGCTGCGAGCACCAACATTTTAAGTACGGCGTTGAAATGTTTGTTGTTCAAGCGTATAGCCGTTCACGTGACGCTGACCAGTAGGATGCTGGTACTTCAAACCGAGAAAAGCTTGAACCGAATAAGGCTCCTGGTGTTCACGAACCTGATACCATCTAGCGTGGACATATTGATGACCGTAAAGAACGATAAGTATATGGAGTTGTTAAGTTTGTTTGACAAAATCAACGGAATTTTGTCCCAGAGCGACGAAGATATCGCGAAACAAGAGAACCTCGATGGCCTGGACAAAGAGTTAACGGCGGTCAATCAATCCATCGAGTCGTCTTGTACACAAAAAGATATGTCCGTCTATTTCAAACAGCTTAACATCGCGACACAGGGTGACTTGGATAAGTATCCGGAAATTTTTTCTGATAAAAAAATATCGGAAACTGTCCCACTCGAGACCATTGACGCGTGGATCAAAGAAAACGAAAACGATGTATTGGATTTGTTTGATTTATTGGATTCGGTGAGAACCATGAGTGTGAGTACGTGGAAGAGTTTTTTGAATCACGCCAATATACCGACTGGCAAAGACTTTCAGAGAAGAAACCCACCTAGCTATCGCGATGAAATACGAAAAATTTTATCGAACAGATTCCAAATTACAGCTGAAGGTGTTTCTAAGAGAGTTGATTTACCTCAAAAATAAGTATATGTTTCAAAATAGTGACAATGAGTTCAAGTTTCTAAAAATAACATTGATTACGCCGAAATTGAAATGGTATTTAGTAATTATTTAATAATTATTTTACACTGAATTATAAGCTCTATACATTCAAATAATTGGAAACACTTGTATTTTTAATTATAATAAAGTATTGATCATTTTAATATAATATATGTGTCTATTTTATTGAATTGATTTTATTCTAATGATTATTTATAAACTAACTAATTAATATTACGTGTTATGGTACAAGTATTACGATTATAAAGAATTTCACTTTAAAACTCTATGAATCTTGCAATAACATTTTTTAATTTCAAGGTCTGTTAAATTAAATAGTAATACTAATTGTTGGTTAGAAATTGTATCAATGACTGTTATATTATTGAATCATTTCTTATTTTATTTATTTATTTTATTTATTCAAACAAAAGTTTGAGTTACAGATTGATTATTTATTGAAAATACGTTTTATAGATAAAATTCACTCTGTGTTACTTGTATAATTAACGTGAGTTAGTGTTTAGATCGCCAAATAATGTTCAATTTTTTCACATAGGTTCAACATAAATTTATTTTTCTGTGTCAATTTAAACTTAAAAAACTTTAAATCTCAAAAGTATGTTTGATTGAATGTATGATTGAAACTCAAACTTCAAAATTTCTACTTCATAGTGATAAGAAGTATAAAAAGTTATGAATAGGATCCGGAATTGTATGCATTTGCATATATTTATATATTAAACTAAAAAGTAGCTATGTAAGATAGATATTTGAATCTTAATCTAATGTGTTGGTATGCGAAATTAAATTTGGCATAGTTTTGCATATTTGGAACATTTCAAATTATTATGCATATTTTAGCATTTTTCTAAAATATAATGCATATATAAAAAAAAATATTACGAAGTTATTAATATTATTATTTATTACCTAGTGTATGTCCATCGTAAATTTCGTGAATCGTGCAGTTATATAATTTGATTTTTTTGTTATAATAAGATAAGATAAAGTTTGCTAAAAGTACCAATACAATAGTAACTCTCCAGGTAACTTTAAAAAATATAAAAATCCGCTTGATTTGTTTTAATTGATTTTCGTTTGTAACTTTTTATTTAGATGAGTGAGTGTTCAAAATACAATTTAATTTCAATACATCATACAATTCCATACAGTTCAATAATATACGTATAAATAAAATACAATTGATATGTTTTAAAATATATTTTTAGTTGAGTATTAATTATTTAATGAATTGTATACATTTTAAAATTAAATAAATTTAATAAATAATAAAAATGCATTTTTATTTGCATATTTTGAGTGAATATTTGAATGATAACCATCGCATAAATGTATGCATATTTCGTACGTTTTGAGTGCATATAATTCCAGGCTCTAGTTATGAATATACCATATATTTCATTCGTTTCTACATGACAAATATGAATGAACTATTAAGTTGAATCCTACAACTTTATTTTTTAATAACACTAATAAATTCTTACAATATTGTCATGCTTGTGATTTCATATTATAATGTAGTGTTAAATATCGAAAAAATATTACAGAAAAGATAGAAATATGCTAAGCCTATTGCTAAAATAAGATCAATATTAAATTAGATGAGTAAATAAAAAAAAAAGGTATTACAATAAACAGTCATTTTTTTTTTGTGTAATGATGTAATTTAATTAAATTATATAAATTCAAGGCTAGAGTGTATACTTATATAATTTTAAAGTGTTTTATAGAGTTAAAAAATAATATTGTTTTACATAATGACAATGATGTAGATATTTTATTATCATTAATCATCGGATGTCATATTATTTGATTAATTAATGTGAAATTTCAATTTCTTTTTTTATTTCCACTTTAACTCTTTCATATTGTATTAATTTATTTTTTATTGTTATTGTTGTTTATTTGTCCGAAAAAATGGGCCCTACTGAACAAGTTTCTGTGGGGGCAAATATATATAAATTATATAGTTTGTGTTCTTTGATTAACGATAGTCGATTCTTTTCTCATTATCAGAAATTATATTTATAAAATTTAGATCGTTACATACGAGTATATGCTGATTTCATCCAGTGAATTTTTTAGGGTAGTTATTTATCATCTCATCAAATATTTATGGTAAATGAGGTCTACGAGTACAAATTAAATAGATGTTTTGCATTTACATTGAAATGTTAAAATTTATTAAAATAAAAAAAAAAGTGTTCTGAAAAGTATAATTTTTATTAATTGAACAAAATAGAGGGGAAAATTATGAAATTATTACATTATATTATTATATTATTATCATCATTGAAATACCACGGTTCAATTATAATACTTCTTTATACATTTACGAACCAAACATTTTGAACAGTATATTCTATTTTATTTTTTGTAAAATTGTAAATTGAATGTAGGTATCACGAATAATAAAATAATATATAGAGAATTTTAGTAATTGTTAAGTCTGAAAATCAAAAGCATTCATACGCTATTTTATGTTATTTTAAAAAGCCTAAATTAAAAATTAAAAATTAAATATTAGTTTAAAGTCACTCCTTAAATCTTCACTCAAAAAATCAATTCCCTTCAAACTGTTCCTCTACAAAATGTTATTAAATACTATCTGGACTTACGATATCATCATCTAGAGTTCAGTTAAACCTTCGGAAAAAAGAAAATAACCGATCCGAACAATTCAAGTCTATCAATCTTCCTACTTTCGAATAATTCTCAAAACATTAATACGGTAATTCGTCAAGACCTAAAGATCCCAAATATCAACAAAACCGCCTCAACATACTACAATATATTTCGCTAAAAAATAAAATCATATTAAAATCCACTCAACATTAAGTTGACTTCAAAAATGTTACCCAAAAATTCTACCGGGTGCCTTAAATGAAAGTCTTCCAAAGACCTTTTGTAATTAAATTAAGTAAATCCAAAAATTGTAGCTGTGCGCCTTCCTTAAAATCAACAAAATTAATTTATTGTGTATTTATATTAATTACTTATTATACAAATACTGTATTAGATTGTAAATAATTCAATAAAAATAATTTAAAACAAGGTTTTTTTTAAAAAAATACATACATTTTATAAAACGAATACATATACTATTTAGTATTAAAAATAAATAATACACCATTTTTACTAAATAAATGTAACATTTTTGCAATACTTCATGCTAGTCTTGTTCATTTTAATACTTGTTTATATTTTTATTATTTTAATTAAACGCTATACGAATATATAACGGGAATGGATTTTAATTTAAATAAATATTTTTATGTAATAATAGCATCGGAAAGTTTTCGATATATGTATACGTTTCATTTAATTTCAAGTAATCTGATGCTAATTTATTTTAAATATTTTAGAATAATTAAATTTTTTTACAAATAAATACATAAATTATATAATATTGTAGAATTTCCGTGTATAGTTTTGTTATTTTACAAATAAATATACGTATTCTGTATTATTGAAGATTTCCATTTTTATTTTAGTATTTTGCGATACGATTAGGTTTCTGTACTGTACACCTTTGACATCAAACGACAACGATTCAATATCTTATCTAGTTATCTAAGTAGTAGGTAGTAATTTCAGTATATGAGTATATGCGTTCACTTTTCGATCACGTTATTTTCGTATTGTGTCCGTGTGTGTAGTTTGTATAATATAATATTATTAACTATTTAAATATGCCCAAAGTAGCTCGCACAAAAAGGTCAAAAGTTAGTATTTATTTGGAAGAAATTCCGAATGAAACTTTTAGGAGTGATGGACAAGTTTTATACTGTCAGTCTTGTGATAAATCAGTATTTATCGACCAACGTGGTCAAGTTATTCAGCACATCAATACCAGTAAACATAGAGTCAATAAAGACAGAAAGCTTATATTTCAACAAAATTTTATTTCTACATCATCCGCATCTACCAATAGTAAGTCAGTTTTTAATGATGATTTGTGTCGTGCACTAATACGTTCAGACATTCCTCTTTTTAAATTGAAAAATGTTGCATTTAAAAATGTTATGGAAAAATATACTGGTCATAAAATTCCCGACGAGAGTACACTTAGAAAAAATTATGTTATTGGGGTGTATGAAGAAATTATTTCGAAAATTCAAAATATCATTGGAGATGGCCCTATTTGGGTTGGAGTAGATGAAACAACAGACGCCGACGGTCGATGTATCGCAAATGTTACTGTAGGAAAATTGAGCACTGAACCATCTAAACCATTTTTATTGTGCTGTGAAGAATTAGATAAATGCAACCACAAAACTATATGTCAATTATTTAATAATGCAATGGGTGTTTTGTGGTCGAATGGTATAATACACAATAATGTACTTTTACTTTTAACGGACGCCGCGCCATATATGTGTAAGGTGGGAAAAGTGTTGGACACATTTTATCCAAGAGTAATACATTTAACTTGTCTAGTACATGGTTTTCATAGTATAGCTGAAACAATTAGATTTCAATTTTTAGAAGTTGATTAGTTAATTTCCAACGTAAAAAAAAATATTTTTAAAAGCGCCAAGTCGTATACAAACATTTAAAGATTTGTACCCGGATTTAACTCTACCTCCCGAGCCTATTATAACTCGATGGGGTACGTGGTTATCAGCTGTATTATATTATTCAAATAACTTTGAAAAGATTAAAAACGTTGTCTTAAATTTAGATCCCGAAGCTGCAATGGCAATAAAAAAAACTGTTGAGCTCATAGACAGTAAAAATTTGCAAAACAATTTAGCATTTATTTCGACTAATTTTGGATTTTTGGTTAATACTATTTCAAAATTAGAAACTTCTAAAATGCCACTAACGGAGAGCTTAGAAATAGTTTATAATGCCATAAAGCAATTAGAACGGGTTCCTGGAGAAATTGGAGTTTTGAACAATTCAAAATTTAAAAATGTATTGGAAAAAAAACACAGGTTTTAATACTGTAATGCCAATAAGACACATACTATTAAACAAAACTCCAAATAACAATTATTCAGAAATTGAATACACTCCAAAAGAAATAATGTGTATGAAATATGAACCTGTCACGTCCGTTGATGTGGAGAGGTCATTCAGCCGTTACAAAGCAATGTTAAGACCGAACCGCCGCCACTTTACATTTGACAATTTCAAGCTATATTTTGTTTCTAACTGTTTCCCACATAAAGACTACGATGATTCAGAATAGATTTTTAATTTTTTTATATTTTTTAATTAATTACTTAATAATTCTATGTTATTTTCAATTTAAAAATCTAAATATTATACATTTATAAATAAATATTTATTAAGTAATAAACAAATATATATTTAAATATTTTTAATTTTATACTAAATTAAAATCCGTTCCCTAATTATTACATTCCATTTAGTAAATTTGTATTTAGGTATTCAAAAATTGTTGGAAAATTTGGATTACTAATAATCTTACTGAAAATGTATTAAAAAAAAATTAATTTTTCGTTTTTATGACGTATAGATATTAAGATATATTCTTTATATATTCTTTCGAATGCATGAATATAACTTTTTTTTTTAAATCTTTCATCAACGAATACGATTTTAATTTTTAAGCGTATTTGTTCTAATAAAATTTACATAAATTTTCTTATCTATGACGCAGTAAATTTAAAAACGCGTGAAAAATAATATATGAAAAAAAAAAACGTGTTTGCAAATGAGTTATACCTGTGTTAACATTAAAATAAATAAATAAAAACAAAAAAAAACATAAATAAATAACATATGCTGTGTATACTTAAGTGCTAATGCAACTATAAATTATGAGAATTATATGTTTTAGAAAAAAAAAAAAAATATAAATGTGTATCAAAAAAGAAAAAAAAAATTTAGCGTAAATATTATACGAATGACTATTATTTTTTCTTATGCTCACTTTAAGAATGATTGGACATTTTTATTTTAACATAGTTTTTTATTTACTATTACATATCCATAGAAAGGAAATCATTAAAATCAGATTCATTAGCAATTCCATTATGAGTAATAAATTGTGTATAAAATACATTTTAAATAAACTTACGAACATATTTTACGCAATAGTTACATAAGTTTGGATTTAAATATACGTGAGAAACCTAAGCAAAAACGTGCGATGGTAATGTCTAATGAAAACACATCGTTTGTAAGAGATTGCAAAAATAATATTATAAACATAAAAAAAAAAATTCTATTACAATACTAAGATTAGTACAACAAAATTCCATTAATATATTTGGCATTCATTGCTCTATTTAGGTCCAGCATAGGAAAACGGTTACACAAACACACTTTAATCACACGTCTGAGTCCTATCGCAGTAGAAATGTGTTGTATTCAAATCTGTATCTGCCAGACTTATTCAACAATAAGTCGTAGTCTCATAGGCAGACAATTGAAAATGTATTATATAATCTATAAACTTTGTATATTGAGGATAATGTGAAATTAAAATACACTATATACACTTATTATACTATTTACTACTAAACCGTTGAGGATGTTGAAATTTCAATGGGGGGGTCCGGACCCGAATCCCACCCCTTGGGTACGTCCTTGGTTTACGCGGACCGGAAAATCGGTGTGATTTTTCGTTCGCTCCTCGTTAAGAAAACACAAGCCTATCGCGTTATGTTGTAGAAACGGTGCGATAGCAGTTGTTGTCGGACGTGCAAGTGCGCCGCGATGTTTGCTATGCAATGCAAACAGCGACGGGGCTATTGGGTGGGTGGGAAACGGGGGGAAATTGTCGTCGTTGCCGCTGATATTGTACGCGCGGAGCGAAAACGAACGAACGAACGGAAGGACGAACGTTTGTCGCGCGCGAGCAGCACCGACCGAAAGAAGAAGAAAAAACACTTCCGGCCGAGCGATAGACCAACGCGATGCGTTATCCGGTTGGTGCAGTCCGCGCCGTCGCGTCGGCGTTCTGGTGGTGGCTGGTGTCCACGGTCCGGTGCGATTCCCAGTCCGACACCGTGATGGAGAATATAGTGCGCAACGTGATGGCGAACGACATAAACTGGGCACCGGTGCTGATGACGCGGATCAAGCTGGATGAGAATCAGGTGAAAGGGAACGCGGCGGTCGAGCGACTGCTGAAAGAGGTGGGCTTGGAGAATGAGAAGATGATCGACGCGCTGCCGCTGATCAAGCGGCTGGCCAAGAGCCGCAGCTTCACCGGGTCCGAGCTCAAGTTCGGCGTGGACGTGCTGGGCTGCGCGCTGTCGTGCAAGCTGTCCAGCACCGTGGTGCTGCACACGTTCTTCGCTCATGCCTTGTCCAAACGCGAGTACGCGGACGTGCCCATGATCCGGTCCACCATGTCCAAAATTCAGGAGGCGGTGGCGATGTATGCGGACAAGGTGGCCGCGTTCGATCAACCGGTGTCGTTTTTCCGCCAGTACAACGACGCGATGAACGTGCTGTTCGCCAAGTTCTCCGTGGACGCCAATCTGCCGTTGACTGAGTTCACCGGGGTGCTTGGTGACCTAGTGGAAATGGGTCGGCAGGTGCTGCGCAACCGCTGCGAAGCCATGAATGAGCAGAAGATCGCCACCACGCACCGGGCCACCGGCTACAACGACTCGCTGTTCCAGGACATCGAGGAGGTGGACGAGCACGAGCTGCTCACCGTCATAGAGGACATGGAGCCGTACGATTACGTGGACATCGTCAGCGGTGGCTACGAGTTCTGGAAGAACACGTTCCGTATAAACAGCTACCGCGTCCAGGGCAACACGTCGGTGACAGACGAGAAGGACACAAACGACGAATCATAATATCCGAGTGGTGGTCGCTCACGTTTTACTTGCCACGTGTCCGACAGTGTATTGCAATTATTTATTGTGTATTTACGTTGCAGCACTTGACTTGTTTAAGCCCACGTGCAGTTGTATTATTTTTCACTATTTTTCTTTTTTTTAACTTAACCATCAGTAAAACCATTTTCATTTATTGCACTCCGACTTCAGGTAGGTACGATGTCACACATACATTATCAACACGTTATCGTTTTGTATATCACATTAGCATACTTAACGTTGTATAATTATGTATTTTCTTAATCTGTTCAATAACGCTTTTATGTATCCCTTATTTTTATGTAATTTATTATGTGTTTGGTTGTAATACAACTGGATTATTTAACGATATTATATGTGAATGAAAAATATACACTTATATCAAAACCTGTGATCTACAGTAATTAATTGATTATAACTATACGATATATATTAGATACTCTTATATTAGACAAAATAAAATACATTATTATGTACATCTTATAAAATTAATCTAATTATTTCTCATTATATAGGTAATATTATTTTTTTCGATCGTTGTTATGTTACAATTTTTTTGTACAGAAAATCCTCTTAAGGATTATCAACATTTTATAAAATGTTTGTAAAATATATTATCTTATGGTATTTCAGACATTTTCTTCGTTTTGGAACCCAATTTCTAATTTAATTAAGAACTTTTGTGGGAACAAAAATAACAAAATTATGCAATACCAGGTAAATATTTTCATTTCCATTTAATTAAAAATATTTTATAAGAGAATAAATTCTATCATGAAAAAAATTTATTTTGAATATCAATGGTTGAAATAATTGAATATATTTACACTTACAATTTAAACAATAATAAATAAACAATCAATGTTATTCATTATTACAATTTTTCTTATATAAAATTAAAATTCAGACAGAAAAATATCTTACTATGATAATAATAATGATTTTTTTATTATTAATGGTAACGATGTTATCTTATAAAATACTCGATTGCGATATGGTAACATATTTTGCAGTCTTCTCTTTGATAAAATGGTAACATTCATAGCTCGACTATATAAAGTTATTTATACATTTTTAAATTTCTCTGGTAAAATAACAAAGAGATAAGGCATTATCAAAGCATTTAAAATTTCTAGAAAACTTCTTTTCGGAAATCAAATCCGAATTGATCACATTTAACTCTAAGAAGTCTGCCGAGTTGTGGTGGGCCGCAGTAAAACACTGTGATTTTTCCTTTTTTCTGGTCTAATAATTGTTTGAAAACCTTGTCCCAGTTTGGCCTGCCTGCGTTGGTTCTAGTCTTCAAGCCCGTGATGAAATCTCTTTTTTCCTAAGATTGGTCAAGGCATTTGAATTAATAGTACTTTTGAATAATAGCTTTAAATTATTTTTTGTTCTCACCTTTTCGTGTAGCAAATCTAAAGCTAATTGGAGTCCAACGGCCTTCATATCGGTCTTTTGTAATGCCGATGTTATGTACATGTGCATCTCCAGGAACCTTTCCATGGCCCCACCGAGCTCAGCTTGTTCGATTTCAAGTTGTGACAGTAAATTTACGAACCATTCGAATGACCTTTGGTCCCGGTTGATCCAAAAGAAATCCACCTGTGCCACGGGACGATATCGTTAATTATTATTACTACTAATTACAAGATCAACTCTACGGTAACAGATCGCTTTCGGCACTATTTCTCACTTTTCTAAGATGCATCACCGTAGGTGGTATTTCACTTGCCCAAGTGTATTTACACTTCGGGCACGTATGACGAGCTTTCCAGTATCGGTGCATGATTGATTGCAATATAGATGCGAACGGCGTTACGCCAATACCCGTAGCTATCATCACTGCATGTTGGGCTCTGAATATGTGACTGGACGGTGCGCCGTACGGGCCAACCAAATATATCTAATATTCAAACATCATTCAGTGTAATATGCGAACAATGTCAGTCTAGATTAAACTCACTTCTAGTGGTTTGCCAACGGGATAATTTATGGGCGACTGACTACTATTGACTTCGTTCGATCTTTCTTTCGATTTGCTCTCGTTAGTTACAAACTCCATGCTACCGATATTAGATGCCTGAAGACATTTCGAATTGAATTAATTAAATTATTTATAGAACGTTATATAGACATACAGTTTCGATTGTGATGCTGTACGACGAGACTTTAGCTTCACAGTGTTCTAAGCTTGGTGTTTTGAATGCAATTATAGTTGGCTTGTGTCTCATGTACCGGAAACTTTGAGCCAATGATTTATTTTGAGGACTTAAATATGCCAGGCCTAAGGATTGGAGTCTTGCTCTCTTCATTTGACACTCGTCAAAACTCTTTTCGGATTCTGATCTCATATAAGTTCGTAAGCTGAAAACGAATATTCATATATTATTATTCGTGAATAGTATAAATGAAATGGTCAGATTTGAAATAATTAATATATACGCTAAAAGACGCTCTCTTTTTTTTATCCGGTTTTCCATATCAGGCATCGACAGTGATTTTGACAGTGGAGCTTTGTTAATCAAAACGAGTTTATGGAGATTAGTGTTGGGTGCTTTCTTGACTGATTTCCTTGCATCTTATAAAGTTACATTTAAATTATTCAGTTATAATACCTGATATTTTAATGATTACAATTTTAATTAAGAAAAAAATATTATTACCCATTGCAGATTTTGAATTTCCAGAAGTGATATCACTTTCGGAACCTCTAATATGAAAGTCTTCCGGCAAACTACTAAAACTCTGATTAGTATAACTGAAATCTTTCTTGTATTTTCCTTTGGTGGGTTCTTCCACAGTTCTTCCCGAAAATGTTCTCTGTAGAGATCTAGAAAATAATTAATCATTTATAATTTGAAACCACACTCAAAATAACGTCAAACATACGTTTGGAGTTTTTTCATTTTTGATGATTCCATTGTATCCACGGAGGAAGATTTACTATTAACCGTTTCAGGCAGTTCTTCATCGAGTAAGTGTAATTTATGTTGTTCTTCTTCGAAATATGAATACAATCGATTTGTCCACTCTCCAACTCCGCGAATATGTAACCACATGTAATCTGAACAACAATAAGTATCGATTACTATTCAATTTAAACATCAACCAGATGGGTTACATTTACCTTCTTGTTCCGGAGCACTACTAATTGTAAATGGATGCCATTCGTACTTGGCTATTGCTGGTATATTCACGAATACATAATCACCAGGATGGAAATCAAAATGTGGTGGTCTTTTTATCACTAAATGGGTGACTTTAGACGGTAAAAGTAGACCAGAGCTAATGTAAGTTTTTCCGTGTTCAGATCGCATCAACGAAAAGCGGTAAAAACGTTCACATAAGTATAAAAGGCCCGGAATTATCAACCATTTCCAAAAGTTTGGGCAGTGAAGAATTAACAATAAGTAAAAAGGCACGTAAAGTAAATGAGTCCAATAAAATATCTGAAAAAATTAATTAAACAGTAATTGGTTTGATCATAGGCGTAAAATCTTTGTACAATGTAGAATCAAATTGGATATAAACCTCGAAGCATCCTCCTCTACGAACGAATGGCTGCGAGCAAATAAACATCACAAACAGAATAATGATGAGCAATACGCCTGTGGGATTAGCATATCCAGGTATGAGTCCAAAAAGTTCCGGGTCGGTAGTGAAGAGCCATTCGGACACAGAGAATCCTTCGTAGTTTAAGTTTGGGTCATAAAATATAACGGTACCTATTACAGGCAAACATAAAGATACATGTAATACACAAAATTGTAATAACAAAATGAACGTAAATTACATTATTAGAAATACTTACTGAAATTCAACAGATGCATGCATGTGTGGAGAATACTATAACCGAATATGAAAAATCCTGTGATTTTATGAAAGTATATGTGTTGATCTAAAGGCAAAAACAATGAAAGTCCACGAGTTCTGAGGAACGTAATACAATGTCTTAACATAAGAACCAAAACAAATGTACAGTTGAAGTTTAAACACTGGCCTGTAAATTAATAATATATATTTGCATAATATTAAAAAAATAAAAACTTAAATAAGTACATATAGTATATTATAATGTGTACTAATTGTCAATTTTTTGGTTATAATACGCAGGTATTTTAATACAAATACAATGAGATACTGTAGGTGATTTTATTTGACATAATTATTATTTTATACATTACATGCATTTTGAACCAGATTAGTGATAAATTAGATGTAACAAGTGTAACAAATAAATTAATATACATGTCGTACTTACCACAAGCCCTAGCAAGAATCGTATACATATTAGAGTTGCGGTATGTGTAAATCCTAAAACCAAATAGTAGTACGTTGACGAGCACATAAACGGCCAAAAATATTAAATAGACATAATTGTTTCGCATGTACGGTAATGTCAGCTGATACGGTCGCAGTGATTTAAATTTTCCCCACGCAGATGCTGGCGGTTGTTTTGGTTTTGGTGGTACTAACCAGCGGTCTATGCTGAAAAACGACGAGGAATTTCCATGAACGAAAATCATTTTCAAATTGTAGAGCAGTGAACGCGCGAGCTGTAAAGAGTGTGTACGTCGATAGTCGAAAAAAAAAAATTCTTAAATTCCGACATGAATATGTCCGAGTCGAAGGTTCTCTGCGCTTCTTTAGCTCATTACAATTATAATGGTGTCGTTGGTTGTACTGACGTTCTAGAGCAATGGCGACAGTTGCTCTCGAGTCCGTCCGTATACCATCACTAATATATCGAGCCATGCATACTCGGAATTCTATTTATTCCTCTGCAGTTAAAAAAAATGAAAAAATTGTTCGGCTAAACACAAATATTTAATAAAAAAAAAAAAAAAAAAAAAACAATCCTTTAAAAAATGTTGTCGGTATTTTTTTCAACTCGTTTTCAAAATGATTCGATATGTTATTATGGTGCAGTTATCCGACATTGAACGTATCACGATAAAATTAACGTGGTTTGTTCTCGTTCCGTCCGTTGTTTATAAAATATGTAAATAAAAAATATAATTATTTGATATTTCAGAATAATACTTTTATCTTTTTCTGTGCAATTCAATAAAGTGCTTTCTATAAGAACGGAATTATGGAATTATAAAAATACCATTTAGATATATCATATACCGCGTGGCATTCGAGATGCATGCTTTAAATGTAAAGAGACATTTTAGACTTCCACGGCAGGATTAAAGGTTAAAGAGTCAACTAAAAGCAAACTTTGAAATGGTGTGACACAAAAAAATACGATTTTCTGAGTCAGGTTAGTCTGGATACTTCAGTTAAGGATGGGTATTGACAAATTAAACGGTATAAGCTAAATTACTTAACGAATTATTTTTTTTCCAGTGACTTGCGCTTATAACCAGTTAATTAATTGTTTATTACAACGTTTAATAAATTTAGTTTGTTTTCAAAACAATATTATTTTAGATACAATAGATTACAATATAAAAGTATACTTTTTTGTACAAATTACTATTAAAATAATAATAAAAAAAATAAAATAATCGAAATTGTGGAAGTATTGAATGTTCTATTTCTGAATTTCAATAGAGATCAAAAGTATAGTTTTATATAAATATCATATTATTAAATTAAAAAAAAAAAAAGTAACATATTTTTAACCAAGTTTATTACATGTTTTATTTTTATGTTTAGCTTTTTTAACTTTTATAAGTTAAAATAAAAAATAAATTACTTTTGACTTTAAACTTTCGTTTATTTAGATCAACGTTAATCCAATGAATAATTAGTTAAGTCGTTTGGTATTGACCCCGATATAGGTGCACTATAGTAGTAATCCGTAAGAGCACAATGATATCATCGTATAACCGTTGACAAACGTTCGATTTATGCGCGAGTGATACACATAATTTACACAAGTCACACCAGGAGAAGACATAGGAATTATTTATGAGGGGGGGGGGTCCAACATTTTTATTTTATCTGTTCTCTAATTATAATTATAGTTTAATTCAATACCAAAAAATTACTTTGTCAATATACTATAGTATGGTTTATACATCATAGGTATATTACGAGTATATAGTCTATAAACTTTGTATATTGAAGATAATGGAAAATTAAAATACACTATACACTATTATTATATTATTTACTATTAAACCGTTGAGTATGTAGAAATTTCAATGGGAGGGTTCTGGATACTACCCCCCCCCCCCTTGGGTACGCCCTTGAGTCACATGCATTATTATTCTAACCTAACCGCGCGTGGGGAACCATCGGGGATTACGCAAATAAAATTACACGTCCAATGCGTTACCTTATCGATAGGTTTTCCAACAACCCGTTGTGTTTTTGCAATTGGTTTTTGAGCGCTTCGTACGTTATGGCGCCTCTCGATTCGCTGTCAGCGTCTTCGAACAACGCCATGGTCAAGTCTTCCACTTGGTCTTCCGAAAACTGCATTCCGTTTTCTTCCATGCACGCTCGCATCACGTGTTGCAATTCTCGATGCTGTATAAGACCGTCGCCTAAAAAAAAAAAAAAAATATATATATATAAATCGTATCATCGCGAGTCCCCTCCTCCCTAACTCTATTTCCGAGAAATAATTCCTACGCTGTACGTAAACGTTCGTTCAACTACTAGTGTTTTCGTTAAACGGAAATAACAATATTATCGTTTTACACAGTACTTTACGCCCAATGGGGCGTGTGGTTTGTAATATTTTTAATTGGTACGTTTTATCCGACAATTTGTTACGTACATACGACTTCAACGTCATTCTACGTTTAATTAGATTGTCAATACAGCATATTTGAACAGAGAAAAATGCACGCTATTTTTCACATTAATTATATAATTTTAGAAAATCATGGCAAGATACCATAACTCATTTTTATTCGAAGTAATCGAATGGATTTCTCATAACGCGTAATATCGGATAAAAAAAATAGTTTGAAATGATTTTATATTTTAAAAAACACGGGTATCAAAAATAACTGCATCGTTCAATGATTATTTTGTACGTAGGTATTTATAATTGTACATATATTCAATCGAATTATTCTCATAAAATGTCTATATTATAGTACATGTTATGAGTTACAAGTACATACCATCCAAGTCATAGACTTTGAACAAAAATCGAATTTTGTCGTCTGGTGTTTGTCCTGCAAATTGGTGCATTGCATCAAGGAACTCGTGTAATGATATCGATCCAGAGTTATCTCTATCGAATATTTGAAATACGCGTTCAGTGAAGAATGGCTGAAATATAAAAATAGGAAAATTATTGGACTTCGTAACACTTAACATTCACAAAAATATATTTTATAATACAATTACTGTTCAAGTTTATCAAAAATATTGTATTTTAATAAAAATATGATTACTTACGAGAATGCATTACAAAATGGACTTTACAATTATATCTTAAGTGAAATAATTAGTATAATAAAATGGAATAATCACTATTATAAATATTAATTTTTTAATAAATTATTCATAGTATTTTTGGAAGGTTTTAAATATTTTCATAAATTATTATAGAAGTTCAAATAATTTTTTTATAAAATATTAACTGTTCTATTAATTAAACGTCTGATAAAATATTATAAGAATTTTTGTTTTAGTTCAAATATTATTTAAGTCTATATAGATAAATTGCTCAGATCTATACCAGTAAACCAGTTTTCTATAATATATTGATTTTATTATTATCTTGTCGATCTACAAATCTAAACACGGACCACTGTTTATGCAAATAAGCTGTTGAAAATAATATACATGTTTGTCCTTTTCGTTATAATTTGGTATTTTATAGCAAACTACTTCTGTAATGAAATAATATGCTTGAAAAACATATCAAAGTGAGACAGCTGATTTTGATTTTGAGTTAATAATTGAAATTTAAAAATTTAAATACCCAATTTCAATGTAACTATGATAAAAATATATTTCTTACATTCTATTATTAATATTTAATTATAATCGATACGGAATTTCTCTTATAATAAGTACAAATAATTAATATGTAACTTACATTTTTAGTTATTAAAATCTTATTGAAGTCATCTCGTTTGATTTCCATTTCATCTCCAACAGTCTGTCTAAATAACTGTTCTAGCCACATCAGATTTTCACTGTCAAACCCTGATTTCATTCTAAACAATATGATTATTTATTAAATGAAAAAAAATCCAATCGACTAATAAGCTTAATAATATACCATGAATAGTAGTGTATACATAAAATATATTATAAGCTTACTGTTTAATAAAATTTGCAATAAATTACCCGGAAGAGTATGTAATTGTAGTAATTAAATCCATTGCTTGTGAAGGCGTGATAATTCCGTCTGAATCTTTGTCAATGAGACGAAATAATTTTTCGACAATCTAATATGAAAAAATTAAAGACATACGGTGAATAATTGCATACATTGTTTTTGGATTAAAAAATAAACCATTTTAATTGAATACTCTTATAACAACATAATTATACGTAATAATTGTGTACATTTCACTCTTTACGGCTGTTGAAATGCATAAAAAAAATTTGGAACACACATGGAGCACATGAAATCAGATAACAATTATCATTATAATATCAGAAAGATTTGAGATAATATTTAAAAATAAACTTGGATACTTATATTACGCACCGATCGTCAAGCGCATAGACTCTTTTGCAAATTTATAAAATATCATATGACAGTTACGATATTAATTACATCTTAGTTCATAAAACCTTCACAGATTTAATTTTGTTTAATGCATAATTTTTTTCAGTCGAAACTATCAAAGTTCAAGAATATCAGGTTTCGGAAAATCATAACAACTCGTTATAGAAATATTGATAAGCTCGTTAATCGGAATGAACGTATTTTCTATATTTAAATGTACATACTTGAAGTCATCACAATTGTATAATATGTACTTTCGTGTATATAACTATATTTTGATTCAATTGACCATGAAAGTATATTATAACTACTAACTAACTAACTATTCGTTACAAACAATAATATGATACAAGAAATTAAGAAAAAAGTTAAACTATTTTTGATTGATAATACAATTATTCTTATAATAGTAAGGTATCATCCATTACGACGTCCTGGCAAATCCTTCTAACATAATTATATTTATAAGTGATGCATTTCAAATACGAGAATGACTTGTATGTTGAGAAGTATACCTGCATAATTTGGAGGAACTAGAATTATACTATTATTAAAATGTCTTTTGTAATATATAAATTTAAACCTATAATAAAAACATTTACGTTACATCAACCATTAAATAGTTATGCATACTCCAGCCGACAATTTACTGTTGTCATCATTACCATCAGTTGCTGACTGATCGCTATTATAACGACATAAACTTCAATTCGTTTTGAGCACGGTAATTATTTAAGAATTACGTAATTTTACTATTTATCGCCTGAAGGAACGGATCATTAATTCTATCCAGAAATATTACCAATTTTTAGATATATAAGAAGTTTTTAAAAAATTAGAAGTACGTTTAATGAATCTTTTTACACAACTGTCACTGTTTAAAAAAAAAAACTCAATATATGTTAAAAATATTGTTATTTCTTTGCCTCACTACTATACTCTTAAACATTATGTAGGTGTATTAGATAAAAATGTTAATATTCAAATGGCAGGAGTCACTTAGCTAAAAAAGTACTGATTGCGTAGGATCAGGTATGTAATAAAACATAATTAATTCAAAATCATCATACTCGTACCTAAGCAATTAAGTTTCTAAAAACATTGTATCACATTATAAAATATTACGTTTGTAATAATAAAAAACGAAATGTCGTTATTATTTTTATTTTTCTATACATTTGTTGTCTTATAATCACTGTCCACTATATCAATAATATCGTAAAATATCAATTTATTATGCTTGACATGAAAAATAACATATTAGATCGAATAACAGAATAACATTATCGAAAAATTTACTACGTAAAATAAACAGATTAAGTTAACAATTAAAAAAAACACACATCGACAACGTCATAATAATACTATAATACATATACAATAAATATTTACTGATTGAACTGTCACTCGTTCGTGTATTATATTGTAGTATATTTATATTAGATATTACATTTACTCCAGCAGTAGCAACAGTGATTAACGTGAAGCCTTTTCAATACTATTGGTAATACGCTATTTTTTTAATAAACAGGCCAGATGAACAACAATACGGTACTGTCTGTTAGAAACTGCTTTTAGATAGATTTAGTTTGTACGTCACAATATATACCGCTCCAAAGATGAACGCGCTTGACAAATAATTCGTACAATTATTGTAATCACGAGTGACCCATCAGGCACACCTGTTAAGTTGAAAAGCGAAAAATATTTTTTTATGCTACTAAATCGTATGCGTTTCGATATTTTTAAAAACGAAATTTTTAAATAACTTGTGAAATAATATTTGAGGTACGTATTTAGTTTTAAAACAATAATCCATCATATTTCATATAAAATTCGTAGAACAATGATAATAATATATAGAAGTGTCATCAAATGAAATTAGTATTTATCAAATAAAGCTGATTGCAATCATACCATGATATCTATTTGAAAAACGCAACAGCAAATTTAGTTAAATATGTATGTCGTAGGCATATAGTCAAATCAGGCATATATTTAAATAGCTCAATAACTGATAGAAAATTTATTTAAATTTTTAAAATAATTCAAAATTTTTTTTTATTATTTTTTTGCCTGACATGAAATTAATTTAACTAAATGTCTAGACAGATAGTGAAATTGCATAAACATTAAATTCTTTGACTATATGCCTAGACATTTAATAAAATTCCTGATTTAACTATATGCCTACGACATGTATACACACTGTAAAAAATAATTTGAAAAAGATTATTATTTTTCTGAAATTAGAAATTCAGGAAATTTTGATTTGATTATTTATAAATGCGAAAATACAACATAAATAATGGCACGTTTTATAAGTATAATCAACGTGGATATTTTGAATACAAGGGCACATTTAGCAATTTGTATATACGAGTATACTAAATTTTATAATCGACAATCACATACGATATAATTCAAAACGCAACATAATTTTGTATCATATTATATTTTAACGTAATTTTAACACAGTAATAGTAATAAGCTAGGTCAAGTTTATTAAATATGATTATTATTGTATTTAATTCCATTTAAAATAAACCCTTTAAATAAAATCCAAAAACTCTAACCCAACCCAATCCAAAAAAATTTATAATTAAAAGGTCAATACTGTGGTTCGCTTCATTGGATATTTTAAAAAAAAATCGCTGGACACCATAATGAACTATTATTTTATTTTTAAGGATTCATTTTTCAATATTAACATAGTGACCGAAATTTTTCAAAGTATATAATGGTGATAAATATTGTCTTGGTAAGTCACGTGTTATACATAACCATAAATTATCTGTTCGCACAGCTCTTGAATTGGAGATGATACAAGGGGGAATGCGACTACCGTTAATCTTAAATATTACACATTCGATATTGTAGTAGCCATATTTATAAACATAATAAAAAAATTATAATAAATTATAATATATAAATATAAATTATAATAAATAATGCTCCGGCTTCAGGGCAAGTATTACTTCACATGTACAACATATTTTACACGTTTCATGTGTGAAATTAAATGCACAACTCGTAGTTTATGTTTTTAATTTTATACGTACGTAAACAACACGATTCGTTAACATATCATCGTGAAATGTTCGATTTAGTAAAAACTATACAAGACGGTATCGCATGAACCAAGTTGTTAACAATCCGTTTCAAAAAACTTTCTAGGCTATTGTATGAAGTGCAATAATATATTCATATATAACATGAATAATTTGCAATGGCAGTGGTAAATCGTATTTCGTACATTTGAAACAAATATTTCCGTCTTATCCTGTATCCAACTAGAAATTGATCACTGCTAGAGTGGCGTAATTGGAGCATAATGTAATAGGGGTAGCATGAATAATTCTACTTAATTATTGAGCAAAATGCGTGAACCCGTTTCCTCCGTTATATTAATAATAACATATTATTATACTTGGTCAATGTAAAATGAAAATAAGTGTATATAATTCTTCTTATATTGGTAAATTGCATTCAATTCTAAGAATTTTAAGTTTTATTTCTATAATAACTACATATTTCACAATACATAATTTAACTCGCGTATTATTTTTATCCAAATAAAATAACGCGAAATTTTAAATACGCGATTTTCTACCAGCAGTACGAAAATATTAGGGGTTGTTAATACTTTTGCAACCCCCGGCATTGTATTAGGGCTCTACTAAAAATACGACGATATACGTCTCATACCGAATCAAGTTGCTGTGCGGTTTTAACGGTGTTACTATCCCGATCACTTTGGTTATTATACAATCTTTACAGCTGATGTTTTTCGCGGCCAACGGTGTCGTCGGGCGTCTGGGACCGATGCGAGTCATCGGTGGCGACGATAGATTGCGGACCGACACGACGAAAACGGACACGGTGGTGGGCATAATATTGGCCCTGGAGCAAAGCGCGACGTGGTTGGCCGAAGGGGTAATGATAGTGGCCACCGGCGGCGTGTGGTCAGACGACGACGATCCGCCGCGCCGCCTGTTGCGTGCGTTGCAGTCCAATGGCCCAGAGCAGCCCGTGTACATGGTGGACATAGCCCACCTTTTGGCTAACGTCCACCACGGAACAGTCACCGCGGACGTTGTGGACGCCACCGGTCGCTGGTTACCGGCCGTTTGTGCGCGGCCGGTCAGCTCCCCGATAGATACCACGTCTTTGTTGCCACCGCGGTCACGCTACGTCGTCCTGTTCCGGGATGGTGTGGGCCCGTGGCCCACACATGATTCGTTCAACGAACTGATCAGCCTAAACCGCACGTTCTGGGACACGGACGTCTACTACGTGATCGTAGTTCGCCAGTTCGACCCGGCCATTCGAAATATTGTATACACCGCGTGGCGCGATCTGTCCATCTACAAGTACGCACTGGTAGCCACTTGTTTGTCTTGCTCGGTATGAACCGTAAAAGGCATTGATTTAAGTACAAATAATGATTTTCTTACTTAAAGCTATATATAACATTAACAAAAATGTGACCTGCACTGAGATAACTGAGCGACTGTTTCCGTCGTAGGCGATACGAAGAAAATTTTACCTCGTGGGTGAGCGCGCCATTGTCGTCCGAATCGTAGAAAAACGTTCATGGGACGTAATCATATTTTGTGGTCAGCAAATCGGACACGGCCGAGTAAAAAGCCGTTTCAGAAACATTTCGATCATAGATTATCATCGGTATGTATTCTGTAGCTTTAGACAGGATCGAATTGTTTACCTTGGGATGAATGTCTTTTTGGCCGGAGAACCCATTCGCTCAGAAAATATTATTTTCTACAAACGTACAGATCAGATCTACTCTCGTTTCCGTATACATATAGTATGGTAGTGCTCTGTACGGTCCGTTATTTTAAAAGGACCAGACAGGACTTCAAATTTTACCAGGGGACCGAAGTCGGACCCGACCGGACTTTCGGTTCGATCTTAAAACATTTTTGACCGTTTATGGACCGTAAGGTTCAATTTGTATTAATCCAGACCGTACCATATGATGCGTTTAGTATTACACTGGATCAGAATACCCGACTTTATAAATAAATATTTACCTAAAGTTGTAGGTTTTTTTCGTTTTATTTGTTTACATAACAATACCTGTACTTAGATTTTAAGTATACTTGATATAGTATATCATGATTGGGACCGAACTGAAAATAATGCATTTGATCTGAGAACTGGACTGAACTACTCTTAAAAATTATTGAACCGGACCAAACCGATGATTCAATAGTTTTTGTATGTTAGGACCATACTAGACCGGACTATGCAGAACACTAGTGTACGGTGAAAATTTTTGAATTACAGCGGAATCCGATTTTTTCGCTGTACTGTTCAGTGTCCCAGACACGAAAAAGTATTGCCAACGGGACTTTGTTATAAGAAAAGTGCAGTACACCCGTAGTCGTGTACCGCGTGAGCATATCGCCTTCAATGAAACCATATGACCATATCGCCAATATCAGTGATGTGCCACCTTTTTTTGATCCATGACTCTCCAAATTAATTTGTCTCTACTAGGATACGTATAATAATGTACGGAAATGTATCATTTTTTCAATCGTTGTTAAACTATTAGTAGGTTAAGATTATAGAGTAGAGTCCTTAAGTTAGCGGTCATTAATCGAACTCGGACGTTTTCGGCTGACGTTTACAATACCGGCGATGGGGATACGATTATATTAAATTATCGTCCGACGATCACGGACAGTCGGTCAGTTTTCAGTGCCGTGGCACAAGCGAACGACGACCGACCGCGCGTGTTTCTACTGCACGTCTCCATCCGCACTGTTGTCCGATTCGTAGCACCGTGTGCTCGGAAAAACATCAAAATCGTGTCCCGTACACGGGTAAATGACATGATGATGCATTGCGGTCGCAGTCGTCGTGCGGAGTGTTCGAACGGATTGGTACAGCGCGCGTATTTGCCCAAAGAAACGTGATCCCCCGAGGTGGACGGACCGGCGCACACGGATTTGTTTTATTGGTCTCGTCGACGACTTAATAATTGATGAGTTCCTGGGAGGTTTGACGAAACGGTATCTCCGATGCAGACGGCTGCGGCGGGCCACCGGTAGACGTGGACGGGTGTGCAGCAGGTAGGTGGTGACGTACGGCTAGGTAGGCAGGCACAAGATGATCGATGGGGCGGAGAAGGGTGCGTGAACGCAGTGCGGCGGAAAATTAACGACGTGGACATTAGCGCGGAGAGAAAACCGGAATAACGTTAAATTATTATCGTCGTTTTGGGAACGGATGGATGTACCGTATTATGTATTGTAATAAAGCGGTACGCCGAATAAACCCGGAGACGCGCGTGCACACGTGTATCGGTCTGCAGACGTAACGTTACGTGATGCGCGCGCGTACGTCGACGTGCAACGTGTGTGCAACGAGTGGGCAGAACGGAAACGACGGAACACGGGTTTACAGGACGCGCGCGCGGCCCGACACCATAAATTAAATCCTTTAATGACGCGGAGAATATACGTGCGCGAGACACGTCCTCGTGAGCGATGCGCACCGCAGTGCACTTGCACAGGTACGCGTGTGTTATCCGAAAACACATACCTATGCCTGTGTTATACAGGCTGTACAAACGAGTACGATGGACCGTCCAACGATCGCAACACGTTCGTACGTATATCGCCGTACAGATGTACTTGTTTGATATTTGCACGCGATACAAGTGAAACTGTGTCCGCGCGCGTATCGCAGCACATCGTCGACGGGTCACCACCGCTGAACGTGTGGTACCGTCGGACCGACGTCGTGATGAACATTTTCACCGCGCCGCGGTCGTTTCGATTACTTTTGATTTGATCCTTTTCGCTCGAGACCACGGCCGAGAGATTTACGGACCACCTCGGTCTCGATGATTTTCGCTACGATAATGTCGGACCGATCCGATGATGATATTGAGTGTCGGGAAAACGTTTTTCACGAGCCTTCGCCGACGCCGTGATCAGGTATCGAGTAACAAAGTAATAATATTACCACCTTTCTGCATGTTATGTTGGTATATGAACTCGGAACGGATTGACGTCATACGCTTCGATAAAAACCGATAATTTTTATCAATATTACGTTTGCGATTCGTTGGCCCGTACGACGGTGACCAAAAAAATATCTACAAATGTCTAAAACGAAACTGCCAACGCCGTCGCGAACGTGGTGGTGACGGTTTTTATTTTATCCAAAATATTACCATGTTTTCGTCTTGAAATATAGTGTTTTTGTTAATTTTCAGGGTGATCGTGGTGACACCAACCGCGATCAAACTTCTCGACCCGTTCATTCGCGACACGATCGAAGGTCAGTTCACGAGCATACCGTTGTGGTCGCTGAAACGAATACCGGAAATGCTAGAGTCGCGGATCAAAAACCTTCACCGGTTACCGTTCCGAATCGTCATCAACAAACGAATACCAACGGTGATCCCGATGGAAGGTGGCGTTTACCTGGGGCAAGACGGAGCGTTCGCTGACGTCCTGGCCGCCAAAATGAATGCTACTCCGGTTTACATTTCCGATCCGTCGCCCAACGGTAGGATCACTTACGGATACAAGCGAAGGAACAACACGACTCACGGGACATTTGCCGGCGTGGTCGATGGCTTTGCCGACATTTCGGTCAACGGCCATTTTCTGAAAGACTACAACTGTTACTCGGCCGAGCTCACGAGACACGTTAGATGACAAGTATTTTTTTTAAAAAAAAAAACATAGGCCATTAGGTCATCTATGATTTTATAAACGTTGTTAGTTACGTACACGTTACACCGACGTAATAATAATAAATACTACGGGTGCCCTCGAGGAAGTTGTGTAGAAATCACCGTAAAACAGAAATCATAATTTATGACTCGCTAAAATGTCTAAAAACGAGTAAAATGTTTTTTTTTTTAATTTCAGACGTAACGAGTATAGTATATGTTAGTAACAGATTTCTGTTTGAATGATGCTAATAAAAACAAAAAAAACATATTTTACGACCGCTGTGGCTCGAGTCGAATGACAAAACGTTAATGAAACATTATTATGAAACTATTACAAACGTTACCCGTAAACAAATCGTCGTATATTTTCAATAGTCGTATCGATAAAAGGAAAATATAACAATTATAGCGAGTATCATACGGATTAGAAAAAAATATTTACAACGGTGTTCATAATGATTTATACAATTTTACATATTATAATGTTTTATACCGTAAAATACTAATCGGTGACCAAATGGAATAAATGCAAATCGTATATTTGTAATCGTTATGTTGTAACTTTCTAATATATTTGTTTGCATTGTCCGTTACACCCAAACAGATAACGAGTGATAAGGTGTGTTTGCTTTCACCCAAAGCTGGTGTAATTCCACCAATGATGACCGTGTTGATGAGTTTCCAAAGAGAAGTTTGGATGATGACGGCAATCACGTGCATAATAGTTACTGTCATATACTACGTGGCCACAGCGATCGACTCACGGCAGCCGAGACCTACGGGGTGCAACTTAGGACTGGAAATATACCGTATGTTTATCGGAGCACCCACGGATAAGATTTTCGCTTACTCTAGTCAGAGGATATTGACCGCGTTTTGTTTGATTTTTACACTTGTCATTCTAAATGCTTTTCAGGTGACTATTATATTCTATTGTAATACGACGAAAACCTCCGATACACCTACTTCTTTCGATTTTATCCACTGCATTGGTGTTATAATGATGATGGGTGTCCGTGCCAACGCAATCAATAACAATAAACGTTGACGTATATTTTACAGGGTTCTCTAGTAACGTTTTTAAGCACTCCGATGCACTATCCCGACATCAACACTTTTAAGGATCTAGAAGAGTCAGAACTGCCCATTCGCACATCCAGTATCAGTTTCAAAGAAATACTGATCAGTGATCCAAACTTAAAAGCTTTAGCTAACCGAGTCGAGAAATGGGCCAATGAAATTGATATTTATAATTCGGATGGACGTTTCGCTGGCTTTGAGCGGGTAAACGTCTTCAACTTAGAACATTTTAAAGACGTTTTATTTGTTGCCAACGAGAACAACACGCGTGTGCTACACACAATGAACGAATGCCTGATGTCCTATTTCATATCATATGTGGTTAACAGGTTGTGTTAAAATTAAATCACAGAATCGTTACATCCATCTAGAAATTTTAAAAACGAAATGTATTTTATTTTTAGAGATTCCCCGTACAAAAGGAGAATCAACATCCTACTGTCATGGATAGATCAGGCTGGACTAGTTCTTAAGTGGAACAGTGATGTTTCCAAGTACATATTTGATAAATACAAACCAATCAATCCCAAGGATTATGACACATCTAAGGTTTTTTCTGTCAGAGATCTCGAAATAGCATTCATTGTTCTATCGTTCGGAATTATCTTGAGCACTACTGTATTCCTCATTGAGATATGTACGTACAAACATTTTAAACAGTCTATACCACATTTTCCATTTTTACAATAATATATATAATTTTAATCAATATGCAAATTAATATTTTCTATTGTGGTACTGTTAATTGGAACAATAACGTAGATTTGTTTTTGGTAGGTTAAAATTCGTGTTTAAGCGTGTAATTCTTGTTTAGCTGATAATACGTAATTTATGCATAGATGCAAATAATATATAATAGTCAACAGTGTGACGATTTCATGGCAATTTAGTTTTTTTAATCTATACCTAAATTTTATAAGTAGCAAGTTTGTTATTGCAATTATTTAAAACAAAATGTTAATACCGTTAATACCGAGAATGTATAATTACCTATAATTTATTTGAAAAAATCTTGAACCTATGGAAGGATTAACCTTGATTATCACATTATTATTACATCACATTTCAATAATTATTTTCAAATGTTATTTATGGACAAATGTTTTTATTTTTTATGTTTTCTAATCGATTCTAACTGAACGTATCGATTTCAAAATGAAATGTACCTCTTATATCAAATATCTACTTAACAAAACAAAAAAAAAATAATAAAATTTGGTGAATATATTTTAAACAATTACAGCAAAAAATCTGACTTTCTTTTTTTTTCTACTGGACATATTTTTAATTGGTCAAGAAGTACTGCCTGCGGCTCTCAAATAGTAGTATGGTAAGAAATCAACCGTTTAACGTGTATGGGTGCAAACAAAAATCTAAAAATAATTGCTTTTTTAGGTTATATAAACGATGAAATATACTTATTTACATTATGATGTGATTTGTTAGAGACCTATACAATTACATAATGATTATGCGAACATAAAGAACGGCTTTAAGTTTGAAACTCATGAGGATCGTTTAGGCTGTATAAATTAATAAAGTAAATATATAAAACACATTAAATAAAATTATATTACTCTGATATATATAAACTTGAATTTCAGTCAAATTACACAAATAATTCCTTTCATCTCAAACTTATGACATCACTGATAAAAATTACCATATTTTATTATTAAACACACGACTTAAATGTATAGCAATAAACTCGATCATCTAACTGCTAAACCTTAATTTTGTTATTATTTCATCATTTTTATTATTCGAAAATGTAAAAAAACTGTGTTAATTATTCATATACGTTAACTGACAACAAACAACTATTACCACTGTATATCAAATAGTGTTCTTATACAAATCGATATATCACACCATTTTATTTTTAGTCGGCGACTTAAGCGTCAAAAACGGTGTGACGCTTCGATTCGTATGAGCATTTTGGAAAATATACTAATAGAGCAGTTTTACCATTCAAGATGATATTCTAAAAATAATTTGAATAAACAAGATATTGAAAATAAACAAAAAAAATTAAAAAAAAATCTGTATTGGGTGTGATCACAGTGAATTCACATATACTAGTGACCACATCAATTTCAGAAACACCCTGTGTATTAGTATTTCATACGTATATATCTGAACGAATTCGTCATCTCAGCCATCTTAGTACAGAACAGTTGCTAGTGAATTTTTAAATTTACTGTTTATTAATAAACACAATTATTTTATTTTCACGAAAACAAATTTACCCTGTGCGCCTACCTTTAGAAATTAAATGTTGGAATTAAACGAACAAAATGAAAATCGATCGGTAGAATTTAATTATCAGTTCCGTATATTATTTATGTACATATGGGTATGCATTTCAATTAAAAAATAGTATATTCGACGGTTGATTTTTTTATGATTGTTGCATTTTATTAAGACATTATACTTATTTGTCTCCGTGAGAATATTTTATTGTCATTTACATGTAGTCCAACGATTAGTCCGAGTTAATTAACTGCATGAAAACCGTGCACACAGAACCTATTTACTATCGAGTTTATAAATTATTCGGTTTCATTCTGATATCCATAAACGCTCGTCTTATTATGCGCTAGTACTTCGCGTACACTAATGCCGTGTAAGATTTTGTTATATGTGTACTACATATTTTGTTTTGTACCTTTGATTTGATCCCATCCAGTCCAAGATAAAAAAAAATGTAATAAAAAAAATAATAAAAAAAATATTAAAAAAAAAAGAAAAGAAAAGTCTTTTCACAACACCGATATACAATATATAATTAATATCAAATTGGTTCTCGTGTTGTAATCCGTTTCAGTATGATTCGCGTTTACAAGCGGTTGTTGGTAAAGGCCGGTGTAAAAAGATCATAAATAATCGAACTCGTTGGATTGTCTCGGTGAACACATACGACGTATATACCACATACTGTACACACAAATACACGTCGTATACGTATTATAAAATAAATGTGTACGATATGTATAATACATATAAACGTATAAATAATCATTGGCTCTGGTAGTTACGTTTTTATCTTTACCGGCAGATCGTTGTAATAAATTGCTGCACCCTGCGCGAGCACGTGACGCAATTTTTCAAAAGCGCACCGTAACGTTTTCACGCGCACCGAGATAATAATAATAATAATAACAATCATTATTATTATTAGTATACGATATACTTACCCGTACGTACACGACCCCCGTGCTTTCTCGACTGCTTGCGGAATCAAAACATCGGGAACGTGGAACAAAAATCTGTTACACCGAAGCGAAATGTTTTCTTAGGAGTGTTTAAAAATACTGTCCCCACGACGAATTAGAACCGAACGGAAATGGTTTATGAGTGTACTGCCTACACGTTGCGTTTTTATTTTTGTACGATCGTTTAACGTTTAAATGATCCGATGCAGGTTGCGCGACCGATAGAGTTTTGTTTCGTTTTATGCGTTTTTAAATGTTATATTACGAATTTAAATTATCCGACGAAATTGTACTATTTTCATGTATCGTAAAAATTAACGTTCCAAATATAATTTATGCCAGAACTTCAATATTATTAATCACACGGTAAACGTCAAAAATCTTATGGTATAAAATCATTGATTCACGATTTTTTTTATTTAATAAAATCGCAATAGCGATTTCATTAGAAATATCAATATTTTATGTTGATTGTTACGAGCATATATATACGATATTACAAAGTACTTGTACTAATGAAAACTACGTTTTAATTCAACCATAATGAGTTGAATTAAATACGATTAAAGTCGTAGAAAGAAAAGTCAAGTTTTTACTATTAAATCTAATAAGTACGAAATAATAATAGTTATTATTTAATGGGTTTACCACTCGGTAATAAACTAATATGTATTATATTTTATGGATATCGTTTAATAGTTTAATTAATGTGTTATCATTATATAACCGTTTGAGCAGCGAATACGAGAGAAAAAGTGTACGGATCGAGTGTCTACAATAAATAATGGCATATTGCCAGCGAAAAAAAAAACTAATTTGCACTTAACACGAAATATGGTTTAAAAAATCTACAACATTAAAAATAATCGTTATGACTGCGGAATATCAATAGACGGTCTTTAATAAAAAAAATAAAGCAAGATCATGTAGCTTTATTAAATATTTATGATAATTTCACAAAACCGATTAATTTAGTTATGTTACCGATAATGTACGAGCGAGGGGTATTTAAATAACGATCGATATTACAATGCGATAATATTGAGTTATAATTATTTTTTATTATTCATTAACTCGTTTAAATTTTGCAACGCTACAAAACGTACGCATTTGACCCAATTGTTGTATTTCTTTTTTTTTTATCTCTTTCTCTCTTTTTTTTTAATTACTCGTAATATCCATGATTGTACACAACATACATGGCCGCACGCCCTGTAATGCGCACATAACTTATTTGTAAAATCGAACATGTCCAGCTGAATGGGTGGGCTCGAACAAGATAAAGAAAAAAAAAATCCGATCAACCGTATAGCACCGGACAACGCGATATAATCGTGTTCGACATTGTCGTTTTTCATGTGCCCGACACTGTTGTTCGTTAACATACGACAATTATATATTGGCATGTGTCCGAAGTCACGGTCACTATCAACAGTTTTATCGGACAATATCACGGGTAAATACGTATATCAATAACGATCATAACAATAACACGAAAACACGAAAAGGACACTTTTACTATTTTGTAATATTGCCAACATGTACAACAGTAAATGCGATGTCGTTGGATAATAAAAAAAAACCGCCATTTTGATTATATAGTTTGAATTTATATATTATAAGCATTATTATAACTAAAATTTACACGATTTACCTGCACGCAAAGGGTTTCATTTTTTTCATCAACTTTTAAGATTCCTAAAACTACTATTGCACATTTGATTAACAATCATAGTTATTATTAACTCTCCGACTGTAAAAATACTATTTTTATCTTGTCTTTGGGGAGGTTTCAAATTAAATAATGACACTATGTAGCAATACATACTATATGGTCCGACATTGAATGTACAAACTAAAAAGTTGTATATCACTATCATGACTTGTATTGGTAGTATATATAAGCGGGGAATGCATATTATGCATATTCTTAATGCTAAGAAGGATACGTATGTACATTGTATACTAGTATGCTAAACAAGCCCTCAGCACTACTCTCTCTCATAGGGTACTTAAACGTCGTTAACATGCGTATGCTCGGCGATACTTATGAAGTAATTATTGTACAAGTAATTATTAGTATTTATTGATTTTTTTTTTTAATTTCAACCTACAAGATTTTCAATTAATTAAATTCATTATTAGGCGGAGTAAAATATCGTTTAGACACAATATCATTATGCAGCAAAATGTTATTATAATTATAATTTTTCGTATAATAGCCTATAGGCCATAAGGTACCTTATGGTATTATTACTATAATATTTGCTAACGAGGGGAATTGCAAGGGACCACAGTATAATCAGTACCAATTTAACGTAATTAAAAAATGTAATTTTACCTACACGTTTAGCGAAAGCACAGTATGAACAAAATTAAGTATAACGAGCAACATATGTATTCATAGTTTAATAGTTTACGAATGCTAGATCGTTACGAATTATATTTACTAAGATTGCGACGAATAAAAAACGTATTATTTGAAGAATACTTAAATTCTTCAATGAATCAATGAATGCGTTAATTAATTAAAAATATTTCGCCTCGTTTACACGCTTATATTTGGAATGTTCTCCGTCTTCGTGAGAAAACATCACGAAATTCTATTTTCGTTTCAATTATTATAATATTTGTCATTCGTATTTTTTTCTAATAATTATTTAAAGACTAAACAAGTACTATTTCGACCTTAATCATTGTGTTGTTATTTTATTGTACTTACGCCTTTTGCTTGGAATATTTGATAAAATTTTTGTAAGACTATTGGTTGATCGCCACACAGCACGTAAGCCACGCTTTCTAACTGTTCTGCCAAGTCTCCTTGCTTTTCTTCCCTGTTTAAATACAACACATTTCCATAAATTAATTTCATGTAACAGGTATGTTTTTTTTATAAATAATTAAATAAATAAATAAACTACAAAAACTATTTTAAATTGTATTTGGTTATTACATATTACATTTCATATTATTACAGTGTCGATTATTTGCTGATAAACACATAGTTCAACAGTGGTAAATCGAAAATGTAACAATAAGTAAGCAAAAGAAATTAAGTACATTACTATTATGAAAAAATACGTTTCTAAAAGTATTTCATAAAAGTTAATAGTTGATATTATACGAATAAAACCATATCAAATAGTAAAAAAATAAAAACCATATTAATTCAATTCCCGATTATCCTTGGACGTTTGGTCTAAGAAGCTGGTATTAAATATACAATTGTCTAACTTAATTAGACACTATAATTTACGTATGGATTTTAGAATTTTAATAAAAAAAAAAAAAAAATGTTTGTTATTTTATTTATTTGTTTTTTAACAGAAAATAAAACTCTAGATATTTTCAATAATTTTAATAGTTTCAATTTTTCGATGAAATTCAATAATTTTTAGCACACTCTTACACTACTTTGTATTTTAAGGAAATACCTTATCGTTAAATTTTGAATTATTTATTTATAATTATCAATAGGTAATGAATAATCGTTCAGAAAATAATAAAATTAATATAATATAAATTATTAAGTTTTTATAACATAATGCAATTTAAAACTAAAATAAATAAGATAATGTAAGTACCTGCACAACAAATTTAATCGCACACAAAAATGTTTTATAAAAAAAAATTAAGTTATGTTACCATGCAGGTAAATAAGTATTAAGTGTTGAGGATTTTAAAATTATAAGCCGAATAAATGTCGTCAGTGATTGAAATACAACTCTATTTCTGCATATAAAACTAGTAAAATATTGATTATCATACTACACATAACAGAATTGGGCATTCATTTAATAAAAAAACTATTTGATTAATTATTTGATAAAAAAATTATTTTTCACTTGATTACTCTTATTTAATTCTACTCACTGTTATAATTTTTTAAGATTATTAATTATTCTTGAATTATTTTTCATTATTTATCTATTCATTGTTCATTATTAAATAATTTTTTATTATTTATTTTACATAATCGTATTAAACTTTATAACAAAATAACTTGATGTTCCCATTTCTATTAATATCATTATTACTGTCACGACTATTTTTAGTATTATTAATATTATTGTTATATTATAATGGCATTATTATTTTTATTGTAGTAAATATTATATAGTTATTATATAAAAATTGAGTGTTATTTAAAATTATTTATTTAATTTGTTTATTTGGAATTATTTATTTATTCATAAAATAATCAGCTATTCATAATTTTTATTTGTTTTTGCCCAACTATAATATGAAATATTATTATTTCATAAATACGCAGTAAAACGAAGCCACTGCAGCTTATGAAAAAAAATAATCGAAGGCATTAATTGGTACACGTGATCTTACCTGTTACCAATACTATGTATAACTTCCTATCCATTATTTATGAATTATTTCTATACACATTTATTTTTATTATATTATTATTATTATTATTATTATTATTATATGAAATTTCTAGATGTTGGTTCTAGGACTGCTCCAGTCAACACAATAAATAACGTCCTACTTTATACTGCAACTAGTAAACGTAATTTTTTTCAATATATTGTACAATTTTGCATTGTAGCAATGAACATTTAATCCAAATTTTAAATTTTTCTCGGTGATTTTAGTTTTAAGTAAACAAATAATTTCTGAATCATTTTCGTATATTATTTTTACTTTAAAATATTATACTATTCTGTACTCAGAATTCTCTGCCTTCGCATTTGTTACTATTAATTGTAATAATAATAATAATATATTCTGGGATACGGTTTTTAAAGTGACGTTGTGTTTTACCTCGGTGAATAACATTTCATCCCAAGAGAAGGGAATATAGGTGGGATATACTAGTTACGGAGATCGTGAAATGATTTCGATAATTTTCACATAGATGTTAGACCAGTAATGATATAATATATACGGTGATTGGGCAATATTGCTGAAAATCGTCGCGTTTTTTAGTAGCACGTGTGCTCGCGATAAACGTCATCGCGGAAGACCGTTTCTCAATAAGGAGTGCCGGTATAACGGCAGCGGATTGCCACACATCGATCAGCGAACGAGTGGAAGTTCTGATAGGTATACGCATTAATGTACGCTTTCAGTCCCGGGCAATAGACCGAGTTTCCGACCCGACCAGATCAGAATCGGGATAAGGCGTGATCCCGCACGGCTATGATTATTATTCATTTAAATTTTTTTTCTTTTCACATTCAAAAACAAAAGAAACCTGTTCTGTCATGAACATTGCCGCCGCCGTGCTCCTTAAGTTGGAGGTGTCAAATTATTATTGTTGTTTACGGACTAGTGTTAATGATACGTGGTATGGTCTCGTCGATGCGACGTGCGTTGCCGGCCATGCCATATATTTGAAAACTAGGCGTATTATTATTATCATAATTTCATCATCTCGAGGATAAAAGAAACTGACCAAACGATACAAACGATCACGCGAGCAAATCAATGGTCTTCGTTTTTCGTAATTTTTTTCCATCTTGTTTTCTTCTATTTTTCGACTTTTTAAATTATTATCATTTCATTTACGTTTACGCTTACGTCGCACATACGTCTGTCGTCGTTGAATTTTCTGTACTGAAGTTGTTCACCACGCGAATATTAATAATAATAATAATAATAACATACATTTACCTATCATCAATATTTTACTTTTGGTCCCGGATCATTTCGATTACGATTGTGAATGATTTCTAATTCGAAGGCGTAATGCAGCGTATAGTTTTAAGAACTCGTGGATACTTTTCAAAACCAACCGGAACACAAGAATAGTTACAGCAGAGCGTAGTGGCTTTATTTTGTTTTATTTTTTTACCTCTCCATTGCACTTCGAATTATCTGTTCACTCACTCTACGGTTGTCCGCCGCACACCGCATGCTGGTGTTGGGACCTTACCAAGAAGATGATTTATACGTTTTCGTAGATACACTTACACAACTAGTTCTCCAGATCCGGACGAATTCGTAAAATCAAATCCTATGTCATGATACGTGAACGTGTTATTTTTGTTGTTGGCTTTCTACACGACGCGTACCTATTTCAGCCGGGGCGGCTACTGAATATTTATCAGCAGGTTAATAGGCGCGTTGCGGGAATCGTTGCACTTTATTGATCAATATTAAAAAAAATTACCACCAACCGGTTCTACCCACATCGCCGGCATTACTGATGTAGTCAGTCGCATTCGAGACATCATGATAACGGCTAATTAGAGCGATTAATAATTATTAAAAAAGAAAAACGTTATAAGAATGTGTATAGTTAGAAATGATATACGTTCGTACGCCGTATATTCATCGAAACGATAGCCGCTCGCGTATCCACATTATAATATTACAGTTAATATTTAAAATTCGAAACTTTTAATTTCACACAATGCAATCGTATGAGATTGACGAAAGAAAAAAAAAACATTAAACAAAAACTTGATAATAATAAGAAATGCGAATAATTAAATCAAAAATTACTATTACAATCGTATAAAACAACTTTTACTAGTTAAATGTACATTTTTATAAGCTCTGAAGAACAATATTTTTTAAACTAGGAAACAGGCACGTTATGTATAATATGCGTAATATAAGTAGTATTACAAAGAGTTTATAAATCGTTGTTCTTTGTCAAACGTCAGTCGTCAATTAATCAAAACAATATTTATAATCGGTTTGAGCACATTAAATATCACAAATGTTCAATAGATTAAGTATGAACACGTATAATGGAAATATGAAATGATTTTTCAACTGTTACATTATGAAAAAGTTATGTACTAAACAGCACAAAATAAAGCCACCTGCTAAGCATTAGTTCGCGACATGATTATCGGAGAATTCGATCTTGAAAACAGCTTGTGGTATACATGATAAATGCCGTGGGAAACATTGCACAGTAGTCTTATAGTCTTGGACACAAGTCAAAGCAGTCTGATAAGTATGATTAGTTGTAAAGCCACATGTTAACAACGATTTTCTTACAAGTAGCTAACCTAAATATCGTATATGATACATCGTATATGATACAGTCATAATATTATTAACGATTTGATATGCATAAGTTCAAATGAAATAAATTATAAAACTAAATTATTTTTTTCAATACTATTTGTTTTTGTCATTCTCATAACTATTTCGTTTATTTTAATTGACCAAAATCAATTCAGAGTAAAGTCATTGGAAAAGAAAAAGCTTATTATTTTTAATTTTAATTCATTCAATCTATAAAAAAAAATAAAAAAAACCATAAGCATGACTCAGTGACGTAACTGGGAAAAAATTTAGGGAGGGCAATATAATATATTTATTATAGGACATCGACACCTTTCCCTCTTACCAGTTAAAACATATTTTTATTGTATGTATTTTATACACTATATCTAATTGTTTGATTCTACAAAAATCTTTTAACTCATTTCATGGTTTAGATAAACATAAATTGTAGGTAGCAGGTACTAGGTACCGATATTGTTAAATAATACCCATAAGAGTTAATTAATAATAGGTGCTATTTGTACTGTTGGATTAACTGGGGAGGCAAAATTATACCTTTATTTCTCAAAAAATTGTCAGAGGGGCACTTGCCCCCCCCCCCATAATTACGCCACTGGCATGACTGATAACGAAGACGTGAAGATAAAAACGAACAGAGAATACACACCCTTTCAATGAACGCAATACAACATGGTTATATGTTGGAAAACAAAATTAAATATAAGTTGTTAATACTTGGATAATGACCTGGATTTAAGTTATTGTACATATTTTTATCATATATTAATTTAAATAAAGGTATATAAAGTACCTCTAAAAGTATATTACTCGCTGAAATAAATTCAATTAAAAATACAACATACAATTATTAAGTATACTGATGAATATGAATATTATAGATTATATAAATATATGAATAGGTATAAATGTTTATGACACTTTTTAATTGTTAAATTAAATGCAAAATTAACTCTATTATTGTTGAATATCCAGAAGTAACATTGTACATTTCTACCTGTTGATTCTCATTAAGTACTAGAATGTTTTTATATTGATTATGAATCAGACAATTGTTTTATTTTCTTTACCGACAATTAATTACTATGCAAATATCATTGACTCGTGTCACCTGGTTTCTATGCAAAATACATTTATTTAAACAGAAACTGGCATTGAGCCTATAATATGTATACTGCATACCAAAGGAAACGAGAAAAATAAAATAAAACACAAATAAAATGCAAAAATATAAATATCCACAACCACGCAACTCCATCAGCTTCAGTTACATCTGTTTTAATTAAATGTGAATCCAGTATAATTGTAAAATGTACATGTAGATATAAACGATACACATTCCTAATTGCTTTAATTGGATTTTAAATTTACATTTTGCTCTGTACATTACGAGAAGATAACTTATGTGTGATTAAAGTAATGAAATGTGCACTATATCACTGGTATCAAACGCATGCAAGTTTTACACACGAATGGTCAATTGCAGTTGGTTGTACGATTATTTATGCATACCTATTATATGTAATAAATGTAATTTATTTTGTCACTATTTTTAAAATTTTTTTTTTATTAAAATTATATCTTATGTGCTCAGGTGAGCACTATCACATAAAAAAAGAACAGTTATAATTTATATATATTTATAAGAAAAAAATTTTATAAGAAATATTTTTCTTAGATAGGAATTATTTGCTTTTTATTCATAACGTGTTTAATGTTTTTAGTTAATATGTTATAGTGGTAAAAGTTACTTTAACAAATTGAATACTAATTTGTATTATTAATGCTATATAGTGAATTTTATACAGTTTTATTACTTTTATAATTTGTGTAAAATATTTAATGGAAAATAAAATTTGTTAAAATTATGAAATACGTATATACATGAAGTACATGTATTTCGAATTTATCAATTACTTAAATGACTATAACAAAATGAAAAATGTTGATAAAATAAGTTATGTACATAGTTATTTTATCATTAACACTATTTACATTGTGTACGAATCTCGTACATAAGGAGTAAAAGTTGTACTCCGTTTGAGGGTAGTTTTTTCGTTACAATTATGGATTGTTATAGCAATAAAAAAAACTTCAGAAATCGTTCTTATTAAAAATTACAAAAACATCGCTTACATCATTTGTAGGTTATGCCATAAATTTAAAATTAAATTGTCATAATTACTAAAAAAGGGTAACATTTAATAATAATCAAATACTTTCTCGTATAAGTATTTCAAGTTACATTGATAAATAAAATATACACATTGATAATTTTAGCAATTTCAAAAAATTGGGTTTAAAAATGTAAGATCAGTTCTGTTTTAATTAAAAAAATATATATTTACTAATACAATCGAGTCACGATAACTCGAAGTTGAAAGGGGATAAAAATTCACTTTGAGATATGTATTATTCAAAATATCTAACTAATTTATAGGGGAAGAATTTTCTAGGGGAAAGAAACACAATTCAAGTTGTCAAGTTTTTCTAGTTATCGAGGTTCGAGTTATCGCAACTCGACTGTATTTATATCATCAATCCAACTGTAAGACATTATTATAGCTAACGCCTTTATCATTTAAATATAAACTGCTATATGCGCTATTAGATAAGATTTTAACAGAAATATTGTTTTAATCAATTAAATTGTTACTAGGTATGTAATTTAGTAATTGTCAGTAAATTTTTATTTAATAATAAAAATAAAATACACGAACTGAGAAGCATAATTTAATCAAGATAAATTAATGATTAATTTCCATGAAACATTTTAAATACGAAATACATTGTACGTGTAATAGTAAAATTTACTTAGTTAACACATTCTTATCTAAATATGTTTCATACTGCAATTATTATTGGACTGAATTATTATTATTATACAATGTTTATATATATTTTATTTTCATTTAAGTACATATTTACATACGTATAAGATTGTTTCACTTTTGAGTTTATAAGCAATTTTACTACGCCAACCGGTTAATCATATAATTGATGGAAAATATAATCACCTAGGATTGGCATTATCATTATAAAACACGATAGAAAAGGAGGCAAAAGATAAAAATATAGTTAGCTATGAATTATTTAATTTAAAAGTTTCCAGTAAATGAAACAAGTAAATTAATCTGCAATTTGTATCTCATGTAAATGTGGGTATACTCGGAAAACTCCGTGAAGATTTAGTCACGTGGTCAGCAATATAATATAAAGATTGTCTTAAGAAATCAATGACCCGGTATATGGTAATAATCAGGTTTTTTTTTCTTCTTAATTCCACGTGGTGATTTTCAATCACGCAGTTGAAAAATTAATTACTTTCGTAAATCTAATATCACAATATTATATTTTTATACACGAATATGAAACTTTTTTTTTTTTTTTAACTAAAACATACTCACAGCAGTCTCTCTTTCAGCGACTGTATCCATTGCTCCTGTCTGAGCACTTTTTCGTTATCTTTGTCGAACAGTTGAAACAGTATGGACAATACTTCCTGTTAACATAAAATCAGTAACGTCAGAAAAGCGAAACACTTCGTTTGTGTGTAGGCGCATGCCTTGCGTGTGGACATTATTTTACCCATTCGATTTGTCGCACACAAACTGTACATCGTAATGTTATACAAGTCGAATACGATACACGAACACATACACGCACACATTATCTCGTGGTGTACTTACGTTCGAGTAATGTGTAATGTGTTGAAATACGCATAATCGGTTTAAACGAAATGATTATTCACGGACCACGCGGGGGAAAAAACTCTCGAGACGTGCGTACGAGGTTAAAATGGAAAAAAAAATTAATCAAACGGTAGCCCGGAGTCCGTTCAACAGCCGTCGGGTCATGCGCGAGATGGTTAATGGTAGTGAATATTTTCGTATGCGTACGAGTGTAGCTCGTGTTTATATTGTGTTGCGCTCGGGCTGACGTTTGTCGGCCACCGAACGCAACAAATGGACCAGAATTAATTGAATTTATTTATTATCCTCGAGCCGGTTGATTAATGGACTCGCGCGGAACAGTACTAGAGTGCCTGCACGATTATGATATTCTTCCGCCCTTGCGTTCGTCAAAGACGCGCGCGGGTTCACAATAAAATTACGTATATTTTATGCGTCAGCCGACGGTCCGTTAACGTTAAATTTTTTTACGTGTAAAGTTCTACCGTTGAACCGTATCTTCGCGCATACTATTACGTAACGGGTACGGTGTCCGATCCGTGATGTCATTATTACACGTGTGACAAATTTCTTAGGTTCGAATGATTCCTCCCCCCCCCCCCCCCCCCCCCCCCCGACGTAAAAAACATTATAGTAATCAAATTAACCACGTGAAAATAATATCCCAGAGTTTGTGACTGTTTTTTTATTTTATCCTTTCTTATTCCCGCCGGTAATGGCGTACGCCGTTTAAATAATCGTAAATCAACTGTGCTCTCGTGATCCGAATGTTCGAATGATTGCAGTCAAATCCAGTCAAAAATATTTAAAATATGTATTTATTCAAATAATCGAACGTAAGAGGACAGACGGGGAAAAAAAACTATAAAAACGTTAATTTATGACAAACCCGTAACATTTATTGCAATGTTTTATCGTTCGAATAATTTATAACGTTCGATCTGATGTATGCGCTCATATCGACCCAATTTAGAGCGAACCCAAGTAATAAGCGCAAGAAAAAACTATACAAATTATGTAAATTAGTAGCACATTTTGTTTTTGAGCAAATTTTTTTTTTCTTTTCACGTCAATTGGCATTCACCCAATCCAATACATAAAAAACGTATTATAACATGCGGTGTCATATCCAGTCATGCGGGTGGTCCAGTTTTCGTATATGTATAACGTGACCCACAATAATAATAATTATCGTCCGGCCGAGGATTCAATTACGACCGCGGCACACGTACACCGCTATTACGTCGCACGGGACACGGTCGTTAATAATTAATATGTATTTTTCCGGATGCAGGTACGCACGCGGTGTTACGTTTACGTGATTGATTAGGGACACATTGCGTCGAAACGGTATCCATAATATTACAGTGAGGTGCAGCAGCGGCGTGTGTGTTTTAAACCGTCACCACGCGCTCACATATTACATGTCATTATAATATTATTATACCACAGATTTGTACAAGAACTAAAATTTAGTTTAACATTAATAATATTAGCCGACTGTCCTTTTAACAATGACGCTCGCGGTAGCCACGCGCTAATGTTCACCCGTAATTCCGGTGACTATACGACAATATATTAGAATGTTTGGAATATGGATTATTTGAGATTCAAGCACTTCATGTAGTATGAATCAAGTTGAGAGTGTTCATCGTAAGTTCCTGAAATTTGTGGCATATACATTAAAAATTGATCACCCAGAAGATTTGAAGCTAATATAATAATCTTTAGGCGTCTTATTGATGGTTTTATAGATTCTCCAGAACTACTAACTCAAATTAATTTCAAAATACCATCCGTTAATACTCGTCACATTTATCCATTTTCCCTGCCTACTTATACCACCAACTATGCAAAAAACCAACCATTATATAGAATGATAAACATATAGCCAATAAGGATCCATCAACTCTACTTTAAATTATCTTGTAAAAACAATATTTATTAATTAGTTATAATTGTATTAAATTAGGCGTGTCCCGTATTGTTATAAAATAAGTGTTATTGATACGGTATACCAATAGCATAGTCCTCCACGGAACTGTACGCGTTCGACACTGACGGTATGAAAATGATAAGAATTTGTAGACGTTGACCGAGTACAGTAACAAACGATGGACTGTTTCAGTGGCGTATTTAGGAATTTTTCATGGGGGGAGGGGGTTCAGCTAATTTTCCAAACACATTTGAGTGGGGGGCTCTGCCCACTTACTCTCCCAGCATAACATTTAAAAATAAATTCAATTTATTGCAATGCAATAATATAAGATCATTTTGATATTATGCTTAATTATTTTTGACTATATAAAATTTTATTTTAAAACAAAATCTAGCCAAAAATCTGTTAAACATTATGTATGTATATACCTTATGGTAACTTTATGATCGTTTAACACTTTTAAACCACGCACTTTTTTTTTTATTGATTACTACTTATCAAATATATTGTACTTATTTACGACAACTTTTATTTAATAAACATATTTTAGCAATGGTTCTTAATTTTTGTGCACATCAGAATCACTTTCAAGTTTACTCGCACATTCCATTTGAATGAAAATCCCTATAAAACAGCTGTCATTTGTGAGTAAATTTATTTTTAAGAAAGCAGATATATTTAAAAGTAATATCATATCGAGAAATACAGAAAATGAGACAACTTGATTAACTATATATAAAAAAAAATAGTTAAGGGTCGGGATCCATCCCCCATATCCTTCTCACCATAAAAAGACCATTTGGCTTTCTAGTTATTAAATAAATATGTTCCTTTATTACGGGTACATATACATTCCATATTATAGAGTGTGCAAGTGGAATCGAGCGGTCGTATTGCAATGAGGACGTATGCACGATATTATACTTCCGTGAATCGGCTACGATTCCGTTTTGATTACAAAACGGAAACAATATCATAGCTATTGCCATTATGTATGAGTGTTAATATTTTATGGTGTACATAAATATACTGATGGTATAAAATCGTAATTTGCTTATTCATCCGAAATACGCCTACAAAAACAAATATACACTTTTCCGAAGCGCTCGGGACCACCATCGTATAGGACAGGACGCGGGTATTTTTATAATACATGTGTAATAATGAAGTTCGTCGCGGAAAATCATCCTTCAATTCGGACTGTAGAGCGGTGGCTAAGTGCACAACACTTAAAATAAGACTTATACGGTTTATGGTATACATCCGTATGGGGATAGGCGTGATGAATTATGTCGGTAAACGGACTGGAGGAGAAAATATTCGTGCACGCATCGCAGGGCAGATAGGTACGAACTCTCACGCACGCGTACGTCTCCTGCGGCCGACGAAGCGAAAATGATTTGCGTGCACAGCCGTCGTGCATAATAATAATATTAATAACGCTGTAATATTTTGTTTTCGTTTTGCGCGAGGAGATTAACAATAATAGTAATAAGAATAATAAATACACCGGTGTGTTTTTTCGGCGTATACGCGCGTGTTGACGTTCAATCAAATCGTCGGAAACGCGTCGCGGGACCAGGAATGAAAAAAATCCATTAACGCACAAATGTATACACATCTGTAAACGGACGACCACTATAAACGCGGTACGTGCAATGCGATTTAATTATTATGCAAAATACGGTTTTCCTCTAATGACGGCACGTCGTACGGCATACGTAATTCGTAAACACACGTACACAATATACCGTACATAACGCATACAGGTATGTAGTATGTAGAATGTGTACCGGGTACGATAATATTGTGTTTTTATAATAGCACACATCCGTCGTTGTAAAACACGCGACCGATACGTTGTTATTATACGTTTTTTCGTGTGTTACCAACGAGAAAAATGCACGTACTTTTTACAATAAAAGTATCCGAGTAAAAACGACGTGTTATTCATTTCATGGGCGGGTCTTGAATGCAGTCCGGAAATCTAAGATATATTGTGTGTGAGCTCGCGCGTATTCGTATAAGCGTTGCGCGGTGGTGCACTCGTCCGGTCATCTCGCGGTCGCTTCATTAAAGCATTGGTTATTATTAGTGTTCGGAAGTTATACGAGTTGCGTATTGTTCTGTATGCTCTCGATTTGTAGCAGACCAAGCTAGAAATCCGATCTACACAATGTTGAGTTGAAAAATTAAAAATGCGTATTTTGCATATTTCGCAGGTTTTCATTGATTTTCGCATAGTTGTATGCATATTTAATGCTTCCTAAAAAAAATTATAATTCTTTCCATTCTTAACCGGTTTATATTAAATAACGCTAGTCGATTATGCGCCATATTTTAGTTTTTAATAATACGATTTTTTTAATTATAGGTTTTTAAAATTTACTAATTAAATTTTAATAAATAAATAATTATTTTTTTTTTTGCATATTTCACATTTTTTCATGCACACTTTAACATTTTTTCGTGCATGTTTACATGCATATTTTGCCTTTTTTGGCTCCTAAAACTCCGGAACCCTAGTTATTATTATTATTGTTCATATACTTTATTCTGGACGCGTTACGCTCGGTTTAACATGCTCGCGCGCGACAACGAGACAATCGGCACGCAGCGACAGTGTTCCCATACGTCCATGTAGATACACAACATTATTATATCATAAAGGCGCGTGCAGGGAACGGTACAACAAAGGTCTAACGATCGGTCTCGGTTGCTGCAGCAATCAATTCACACACGTGATATCATATCCCGTACTTATTTTATACACGTTTCGTAATTTGCATAGTATCGGCGTATCTCGAACGAGCACGCGTTTTTTCACGTGTCGTGTACTCGCGTAGATTATACTTAGAGCTCGGATCGCAA